TCCCTCTGGGATTAATAAAGTATCTTTGATTTGATTTGATTTGAGGAAGTAGAGGGAAAATGCCGAACCATGCCCTGGAAACAGTGGTCGGGCCGAACTGCATCAGTCCAAGTTGCTCTGAGTAGTGTTCCTGGAAAACCAGCTTTAGGGACCCAAAGTGTGCCAAACAACGCCTCCACATCATGACATCACTAGCAGCAGCCTGAACCACTGACACAAAGCAGGATGGATCCGTGCCTTCATGTTAGTGACTCCAAATTCTGACTGAACATGAATTTTGTTGCTGAAACCCAGACTTGTCAGACCAGGAGAGGTGTTTTTCTTGGACTCTTATGGTGCAGTTCTGATGATTCTGTGTGAAGTGAAGCTTCAGTTTCCTGTTCTCGAACAACGGGGTGGCACCTGCTGTTTTCTTCGCCCGCCATGATCCATCTGCTTCATGGTGCAACATGTTGTGGTTTAGAGATGCTATTTGGCAGAGTTTTTCTGTAACCAGTGGTTACATGGGCTACTGTTGTCTCGTATAATCTAAAACTAGTCTGCCCCTCTAACCTCTGACACCAACACTCTGATGCTCAGTTTGAACTTATGGAGGTCCTCTAGCTGTCTAGATCCGTTGAGTTGCTAATTGGCTGTTTAGCTAGCTGTGTTAACAGTAAATTGTAAAGCTGTTCCTAATAAAATGGCCAGGGAGTACATATCAGCATTCCAGGGATGTTTCATCATTTGGGTTATGGTATCTTTTTTGATCAGTTGTGCAAACAGCTGATCAGGGATCTATTAGTGTCACTGCTGCTGCTCAGGCCGGCCCACTTTAAAGTGATCTGTAGCGTTATGAGGCTTGATCTGGTCCGATTTTCCTTCACAAAATGTTTTAGGCCAGTGGGAGAATTCATGTGTGACACTGACACGTTGAGATGCTGTCAGATTAAGGGAAGCAGCACTAGTGTGAAAGGAGCTATAGACAAGGTTTCTCTTGAGTTCACTGCTTTGAGGGGGTGGGTGGACCGCAGTGACGGTACGGGAAAACACTGATATGTTAATGTGGCCTGATGACTTGTGGTCTCTGTTTACAGCATCCTCCTCCTAATTGCTGGGTAGTACAACTCTGTCTTGTTTGCAGTGATCTTGATCCAAAACCACACATGGACAGCATTGGTTATTTCACAAAGACCTCAGAAAATACTTAAAATAGGATGTTTCAGCACCTTTGGATCGTGTGAATCCTGCTGGTTCAATCTGAATCATAAACAGGTGTTAGAAGCAGTTTTTCTTGAACAATCTTTCAGCTGTTTTCCACATTTTGGCCTTTACTACATCATGAAATATTTTCCTTTGCTGCCTCACATTGGTGCAAACCCTTTTTCTCCCTTTTTCCATGTAATTCCTCTTTTTTTTTTTTTTTTTTTTTTTGCATTGATTCGTCTCAAAATACCCCTCCAATGAAACCACCTGACACCTGAGAATGTGAGCGGCTTTTATCAGGAGCAGATTAGAGACAAACACACTTAGAAAATGCGTAAAACAAGATATTAACCACATTAAAGTGTACATAGTTTAATTACCCGAGTTAAACCTTGACAGCAAATGATGCATTCAAGTTTGTGCGTGGGAAAACCTTGCTGAAAAGCCTTGTGCAGTGTCATCTGTTGTTAGCACGTGGTTTTTTTGGCTCTGGCATCTGAAAGTGGAGTTAGAAATGGTAACAGACTGTAGCGGGTCTCCTCGCAGTGAGGAGTCACAGTTTTGCAAACAGCAGCAGTCATGCAGGCAGGCAGTCTGTCCAGACCATAAGTATTTGGACAGTTACACAGTTTTTGTTCTTGAGTCTATGTGCTTCAGCAAATTAGGTCCAAAATAAATGACAACATTAAAGTGCTCTGTTTGAGTGGACTCATAGGAAGATTAAAGGGATTTTTGAGTTAGATATAACTTTATTTATAAGCACACTTTGCTTGAAATGCTGAGTTTAGGTTTTTTTATCAACAGGCATAAACCACTTATCATGATGAAGAGTGTGCATTGAGCACTGATTGGAACAAGGACTCATTTTCAGTTTTTCCCAAACTTTTAAAATTCTGATTCTATGTTTCCATACCCAGTTGTCTACGGACTGGAAAAATAAGTCGCTGAATACCAAAGAAGAATCTGCCAGGAAGTGTTTGCATTACCACCCAAATGGAAAATGTGCTGAGTCACTTTAAAGTGTGACTTCACATAAAGTTCATAAAAATTAAAAACTATGGTAAAATTCTGACTATTTCATCAAGTAAGACCTAGCTGGCTCATTAAAACATGAAGATTTTTGACCCTGCTGCTTGGAAGAATCTGAATCAAAAGTCACCTGGAACCAGAATCGAAGTGAGGAATTGGAATCGTAACTGGAATCATTCATATTGCCTAATGCCCAACCCTATTGATGGCATCATATTGACTCATCACTGCATGAACGTTGACAATATTGTCGAAAATTTAATTTAAAGGCACAGTGTGTATTTTCCCTGGTGATAGGGGGCACTACATACCTAAATAATTGCAAGCAAGCGGTATTTTTGTGTTTGAGTAAGACCTTACCAGCAGATGCCCATTAGGGTCAAAACTCCCCGGGAGAGCAACCTTCAGCAAAATGGCAAGCACATCAGTCTCCCTTTCATCACTGGCAACGAGCGAAGGGGTGAATGTGTAAAATAACGTTTATGAATGGTGAAAGTTTTGTAACCGTTTGTTACAAATCAGTGAATGCATTTTGTCCTCATAGGCTCCCATAGAAGGAGACATGGCATCTAATTGCTCTTTTCCATCGGCAGGTCTGGAAAAGTCCGGTCTGGTTATTTTTGGACCGGCATGTTCTGGTTTGGGTCTGGCATTTTCAGACGAGCGTTTCGATCGCAGTTTTGGCCATTGTGCTGGCAGTTTAGGTCATCACATCGGTAGGCAGGGTTAAACGAACCATCATGCACGATTTTTAAATTTGTGCAACTATTCAGTATTTCAGTGCTGCAATGAACGGTCTACAGAGCTAAAGACAAAAACAAAATGTTTACCACAGCTACCACGTGACTCCAGAGTGTAGTCGCTAAGTCCAGAAGCCTGCCTCGCCGTCTCGGCTATAAATAGCATCCAGCATGTCATAGCAACTCCGTGTTTTTCTCCCATCTGAAAAAAAAATCCACTCCGTCAGTTTCTGTCCTAACTATTAACTATATCGGGCTTTAATTTCTTCGTCTTGGCCCAACACTGATCTGACGTCCACTCTGGTCCTTCGGCTGCCATCGGCTGGGAAAAAAACTACTGATCCGTCTAGTTCCTTATGTGGACTCTTACGATGAAAATGACCAACACTTGCTGCAACTTGCTGCAATTTTTTAGGCTGAGAGAGTCAGTCTAGGACAAGAACAAGAGGTCGTGGACATTCACGGCAGAAACCATCATGGAAACTGACGTATAGAGATGGTGAGGATGAATGAGAGAGTCTCGGGGACTTCATATCGATGTACTCTATACTAGGGCTGAACGATTTTAGGAAAAGATTGAATTGCAATTTTTCTAGCAGAAATTCCGATTTCGGTTCAATTCACGATTTTCTGCAAACAAAGGTCCAACATTAACCTGCCAAGCCATCCTGTTGATTAAGTGAAAAGATGGTCTAGATTCTAATCTAGTACAACAAATCATTCACATTAACATTTACTATTTAATCATACAATTAAAACGGTTAAAGTTATTAAAAAATTCTCCCATTATTATCTATTGTTTAACCTTTTTAGTGTGTGAAGCAACTTGCGCTTGTGATTTTTATCTAGAGAGGACCTTTATAAAAATATGGTCTACTCCAAAAATGCATGGAGGAAATCTGTAGGTAGAAAAAGCTTTTAAATGTATTAAATAAAAAATGCACACAGTTTTCCCTGGATTACCAAGGCAGGCTGGCTGCACGTTTTTTGAAGCCGTCTGATAGTTTTTCCTCACTAAAACGTCAGTTCTGTGAGAGAGACGCATGCATTCTGACACCTTAGCTTGTTTGAACTAACGTGTGCCATCAGAAACATTCAAACCATTTTTAAAAGAGAAGTTGAGCTTTCAAGTCAACTAAAGTGTGCGACTCGGCACTCGCGCTGATGAAGCATTTACCAAGCTTTAGAAATCAGCCTGAACCTGCTCCGATGTGGGAGGAGTCTCTCTCTCCCTTACTCAACTACGGTCTCTCTCTCTCTCTCTCTCTCTCTCTCTCTCTCTATCTCTCTCTCTCTCTCTCTCTCTCTCTCTCTCTCTCTCTCTCTCTCTCTCTCTCTCTCTCTCTCTCTCTCTGTCCCGGGCTCACCTATGGTGCCATTATTATCGGCTCTAGCAGTGCTGTGTGTGGGAACAAAACAGGGAAAATAACCTGAACATGCAGCTGTGGAGTTGGGCTCGGCTCTGGATAGTACACCCCACCCCCTTCCCCCGCACTGACTTTTGCTGCCGCCATAACACAGAAAAGTTACACAACTGATCCTGGGTCAGTCAAAACCGTTAAAACCGCAGCTTTGACAGTCACGTGACCATGCTGTTTGAAATCACAATTTCGGTCCAAAAATGATAGATCGTTCAGCCCTAGTCTGTACACATTCTTTTAAACTATGAAGGACATAGAATGTTTCTAATCCAGCATGATGGAGGTTTAACAGCCAGATGAATTAGTTCTATGAGATTTTTTGTCTTTCCGATCCTTTAAGTACCATCAAAAGAACCAGAACTGAAATTACTTGTGTTATATAAACATAAGACCTGAGGTAGTGACCACAGAAAAAAATGTTCATGTACTTAAGCAGGTGAAATCTCATAAATAAACCAATCTGAATACAAATCTGACTTTAACGTAATAAACATAAACACAAAAGAGGGTTTTTAATACATTTTGCTCCTATCCATTCTGTCCATGTTGTTTGTTTTGTAGTTATCCAAGTCTTTAATCCCCACAGTTTTTTTCTGATCCTTTTGTCTCTGGACATTTCCTGCAGCTTGGACAAAAAGACAACCCAGCTGTGGACCCAATCATCCAGGGATTGAAGGGAGTAGTACATCACGGTGAGTAATAAAAGGGCAAACCCACACAAACGTAGCTCCACACGCAACATTTGTGTTTATGTGCAGGTAGGGTCAGACAGGAGACGGTCGCTTTGGCTTCTTCACATTATTGCTATGTATTTGTTTTATATCTGTACTCATACCAAAATCTCCTTATCGCCAAGCATTACAGTAGGAATTAAATTTGTGTGGGATTTTGAAAAGCAATTGACCCTGATGAAATCCCTTTGACATTGCTGTGTTGCTGCTGACGCCTGATCCTAGAGGTACATTTCGCCATCAATACTGATGCCTCGATGTTTGGAGGAGAACAAATGCTTGTTCTTGGGTTTTACTGCCCAAACACGGAGTGTCGTGTTCCTATCTCTCAAATTAGTCTAAACACAAAAATATGAGACGAAAGTAACTTCAAACAAAGCATACATTTACTGGAAACTGCCCGTCCCTTGGTAGTACAGCTCTGCTGGAGGAGACCTCTGCAGTTTTACTCCAAGACACACAACTAATTATTACATCTGAACTTCAATTAGACGGCCCTGTTTCATGAGCTCTGGCTCCTGCAGAACTTCATATCCACATTTCAGCTATTGATGTTTTGTGTTGTGAGCTGTGCCCCAAATCCTAATGCTCATTTTCTAAAGTTAATACTGCAGGTGCATAACTTAGCACAGTCCGTAAAGCCGTGTTTTAGCTTGACTGTGTAATCTCTCGCTGCAGATTGAGGCTCAGCAATGCGAGGCTTGTTTTAAAATCTGCTGCTCAAAGCCGTTTTGTAAGCAGAGTTGTACACAGACATGGAAGGATGATGCAATTTTCCCAGAACTCGGGACAGTTTTACTAAACAAACACGAGCCTGTGAGGTCCTAAAAAGTCATAAAAACTTTAATTTAAACATCAGGACTTGAAAGTCCTGATTTTTATGTCTAGATTTTTTTTTCTGGGTCTTAATTTACATGTTAGATTTGTACGTTGAGCAAAACCTTTTTTTTTTTTTAGAAATATTCCGATGAGGTGGCATGCACGTTTCTCCTCGTGATGTTTGGGGATTTCAGGAGTTTCTACGCTAATACTACAAGGCCCATAATGCATCGGGCCTGTCAGAAGGAATTACTTTACATTCAGCTTTCCTGAAAGTGTTTTATTTTTATTTTTTTGTAGAATAAAATGTAGCCTGATTTACACTGTATGCTTCTTTATCATATGAAGGTGTTGAGGTATAGCGGTTTGGCATGAAAGCAGATTTTAAAAGTTGGCTAACAAGTCGACAAAAAAACATCGCAAAGGCGATTTTCGGACTTTAAAACGGGGTCAGCTGTTTGGGAAAGGGCAATGTGAGGTGTGATCATAAGGACATTAGAATAACTATTAATTACTCCATCTTGAAAACAGAACAAAATGCCCACTGTCCTCATCCATTGTTACAACAAATGTAGGATTTAAATAAAATCATAAAAATAACAGGCAGATTTCACTTTAATTTACCTCCGAACAAACACTCAGAGAGCTGGTCACATAGTCTGGAAGGTTTGTTTGCTTGTTTATTTATTTATTTTTGGTAACACTTTACGAAAAGAATCCATTTATTAACATTACTTAGTGCATTATTAAGCATTATTAAGCAAATGATTCCTATATTAATGTTCCCGAGTGACCTTAAAGTTGGGACAAAGGGCCAGGACGGGTATCTGTAATGCATTACTTTATATTAACAGTAATATTGAGCCGTTGTTAATACTTTAATAGTTTATTAATGCTTAATAATGCAAGTGAAAAGGGACTCATATTGTAAAGTGTTACCTGTTTATTTGGTTTATAGTTGTGATTTAAAGAATATAATTTGGTCATTTGTTCAATTTTTGAGTCTTATGTCAATTAATTTTGAAAAATTATTGTCTTAAAATGGCTTAAATTTAAATTCCTGAAACTCGCTGAAAGCCTGAATGAAATCTATGAGAAGATGGACAAATGATGAGGTAAAGCTATTAAACAACATGTAAATCTTACGTACTGCATGTATGAAACTATATAAATGAGCTAAAACCATTTTGGTCTCATAGCCATGCTCCTGAGCCGACCCAGTCTTTAATAAATGAATTTGGTTGTCCACATACACTGATTAGGATCTCGATGCTAAAATGTGGCGAGGAAGGAAAAACGACCCAGGATCTTCTGAAACCACTACAGCACGTGTTTTGGCTTCGGTATAAGAAAATAGGTCACTTTAAATTGAGATAAGTGTGATGAAGAAGGCTGACTGTTCTCTGATTATCCCGTCATCAGGTGGCAGACCCGTTTCACTTTCAGTTTTATTTCAGCCAGTTATACAAGCACCACTTTTACTGTGTAATATAACTATAATAAGGATAAATTACAGAACACGTCTGTTGCTCTAGATTATTTCATAAATCTATCCATTTCAGCAGAGTGAATTGTACTTGTGCAGCACTATTTCACGTTTCTCATTCATTCACACACACACAGTCGTTACAATAGCAGGGTGTCTACCTCGTAAAGAGCTTTGTCGTCATTAGGAACATCTTTTGGTTCTGTGTCTTGTCTAGGGACATTTTAGCATAGGAAGGGGTCACAGGCTGAGCTGTGAGCCTGACAACTGGTGGACAACCTGCTGTAGCTCCTGAGCCACAGCCTCCCTGCTGCAGCTCTGTACTGCACAGATACACAGATGCTTGTCCTAGCACCACAGAATCCCATGTCCCAGCTGAAAAGGAGAGCTTGGCATGGATGTTGTGCTTTTTGGACTCTCTTCCTGCTTGCTGCTAAATGCTCCTCGCCTGCTGCCCCGTTAGGATGGCTGGTTTTCCACTAGCTCGTTATCCACAGTCATCCATCCATCAGCATCTCGGCAGCCCAGGAGCGATAGGGCACGTACGCTGTCTGAAGACAGGGAGAAGAAAGGCTGTGCATACTGAATTTGACTCTGAGTACCGATGAGGCATGGGGGCGAGGTTTCCCGTGCCTCTGTAGTCTGAATGCAAACCACACCCTAGACCTCTGTTTCTTTTGAGATAAGGCCTCATACTGTGAGAGATTGGATTTGGCGTAAATTCGGCTTTATTTAGGCTTTTCTCATCATAATTCAAGTAAAGAACAAACCAGCCCCAGTAACCCACACACCATATTTACAGGAGAAAGGCATCTTCCTCTGGATGATTTCAGCTTGTTTTTCTTATTCCGCTCCTTCCTACAAAGCCTTGCCAGGTTTTGATCAGGAGATAGCAGAGATCTGGTAATCATTTGGAGCAGTCTTAATCCCCACAGCCTAGCCACAGTTGTTACATGGAGCCTAGCACACTACCACCCAGCCACAGATCAGCTGTCAGAGCTGGCCATCTTATCAGACTCTCCTGGTTTTGCTCTTCTTTCAGCCCATCTCAGCGCAGAGATCCAGCCGGGGCGATAACAAGTAGTGAGGCTTTTAACTACCGCCCTTCCGCTAGAGGAGGTTTCGGGAAAGCAGTAAAAATGCCACAAGCGGGGTGAATTGGGGTGGACGCGCCTGAACGCCATGCTTTACAAATCTGCACGCTAACAAATTTTAATCCCTTTCTTTACCCAGAAAAAGAGACCAACCTCAGGTCATTCGTCTTGAGGGATCTTCTGCCGTCATCAGTGGACAGTTATTACCGATACACCGGCTCTCTGACCACTCCGCCCTGCAGCAAAGTCGTTGAGTGGATCATCTTCTCCAGGCCCGTGTATCTGTCCCACTCACAGGTGCGTTAAGCGACACCCCCCCCCCCACACACACACACACACACACACACCTATGCATTGGTGGATCACCCACAGTTCAGCTCTGCAATTTCCCCCTCATGTGCCTCTCCTTTTCCCATGTCCCCTATCCTTTGCGTAGGAAACCATCACTGCCTTTGTAGTGCATGATTAAACAGGAAGGGGGAGCCAATTACTGGCATATGTGATGGCAAGCGTCAGGTAGCACCTATATCCTAGTGTCGGTGTGAGACGGTGCCTATAGGTTCTGAAATGTTAAACAGCTGCATGTTGAGGGGGGGTTATCATGCCAGTAAGGATGTTCATCAATGCAAAAGCTTATTAATCTGAGCAATCTGGAATAGCAGCTGAACATATGTTTCATGAAAAATGTTGCGTTTTACAGCACTCGCCTGCGTGCTTTACAACGTTTTACCTCCAACTGTTATCGCCGTTTCAGAGATAATATATGCCAAATCATGCCCGTGCTTTTTGCTGATCTCCCCCACCCCCCACCCCCACCATCTACAGTGCTTTGCTGCATCTTTTAAACATACAATTCTCTGGCTAGCCAGCTGCATATTCTCCTGCACGGCGGGAATCTGCAGGGCTCAGTGGAATTTCTATGAACTTGCATGAGGACAAATCTTTTGTTCAAAAATGACTTCTGCCGCAAGATTATTGACCACCTCGACAATGTTTGTGACGCTCACAGATAGTCTTTTATGAACCTGTAATTCATTTCTCCAAGCACCCATAGGACACATTGATTCCACAGTATCTGTAATGTGTAGTCATTACAGCACGCGGCAGGAGATCATTCTTGGCAATCAATGGCCACAAATTTGCCCCATTGAGAAGTTACAGCCCAGCAGGTAACCGGGGCGATGATTGAAGCCTGGGCCTGCTGTTGCCTGTGGTGTAAATGTTTCTTGCAAATACTGTTCTCCACTTGTGAGCAGTCAGCTACTGGCAAGTCACTACAAATGCAGTGCTGCATGATATATTTAACAGTCACACATTTACTCACACACACAGACGTAGTAACAGTAGCACTTAAATGTACCCTGATAACTGTTCTGTGTTTCTTCCCATCCAGCTGGATGCTTTTTACTCCATCTTTACAACGGAGCAGCAGGACCATGTCAAATCCGTTGAGTACCTGAGGAACAACTTCAGGCCCCTGCAGAACCTGAACAATAGGGAGATTTTCAAGTCGGCAGTAAAAGATGCATGGCAGAAAGATTTGACCGAGATATTAGGAAACCCTCACAGCACCGAGGCCTCGAGAGGTACGTTTTTATTTTATTTGTGTTTGGTGTCTTATTTTCTGTCATCCGGAGAGCAGAGCTACTGTAACGATACAGGTCTGGTTTAGGGAATCGCCCTCTGAAAGAAAAATACTATCTTATGCCTGTCAAACAGCGTTGGACCTCATTCTTTTTTACAGTGGAGTCATGTACAGGCCTGCAAACATTGCTTTTGGGTGAAGATCGCCATTTTTGAAACCACTGTTGCCTCGAAGCACGAAGGTTGCAGGTTCGAAACTCGCCTGCGGCCTTTCTGCGTGGAGTTGCGTGTTCTTCCCATGCATGTGTGGGTTTCCTCCGGGTACTCCGGTTTCCCCTACAGATCACAACATGCCCTACAGGTTATAAATTGTAAGTCACTTTGGATAAAAGCATCTGCTAAATGAATACACATAAACAAATATGGTGTTCGTGTTAATCGTATACATCCGAAGAGCTTTCGTTTGGTGTGTGTGTGTGTGTGTGTGTGTGTGTGTGTGTGTGTGTGTGTGTGTGTGTGTGTGTGTGTGTGTGTGTGTGTGTGTGTGTGTGTGTGTGTGTGTGTGTGTGTGTGTGTGTGTGTGTTCCCCTCATTTCTCTACAATCCATTTTGTTCATAAAATATCATTGTTGTCATTTGACCAATCAAAGTGAAAGTCCTTTTCTGTGTTTTCATAATGCTAATTTACATATAAAAAATCAAATACATTTTTTTTAGGGTGGGGAGTATAGTTACCTTTCCACCATACCTGTCAGGTTTAAGGTTCATACTTTCTGAGTTTGCAGGTATGTAAATAAGTAATTTATAAATTTGACAAGTTACTTATGTCATCATTAAAAGTTAATTGTGAGTTTTCTTGTAATCATGACGATTGCCTTTAAACTCATTATGATGTAATCATCTTGTTACAGTTACCTTGTTTTAGTACATACCGTAAATCCTCTAATACAGGCCCGGGCCTGTATTTGACTCAAGCTCATCAAGCTCCAGGCCTTTATTGGAAGGGGGAGCAGAATTAGAGGCAGGCCTCAATTTCTATTTGAGCAAAATGAACTAATGGTTCGCTGGAGTTTTTGACAATTAAAATTGCGCTCACATTTTCAAAGTTAAACACATTTCTTTTAACAACGGTAGTTTCTGCTTCAGCCCCCCCCCCTCCCGCGAGCAGCAGCCGCAAACTCACTGATGCGCCTGCAGCCTCTCGGAGTTCCTGCTGCGCTAAACATTAAAATAATTATTTCATTTTCTGTTCCTCACTTCTGATTACCTTCAATGGTGTCTGTCTGTTGCAACCACCAGGTACAAAAACTAACTTGTTTTTATTTGACTATTTTTCTGTCCTGCCTGTTTATTATCTTCCTGCATCTCCTCTCAATCCTAAAGAGAAACTGCTACCTGGGTTCATATATATTCACCTTATGAGTTACCTTTGAACTGCAGTTCTAAAAGATCTACCGACCGCAAAAACAGCGGAGTGCTCGCTGCTTGCCGGCCGCATCAGTGATCTGTGCGTCACCGGAGGACAAGGTGATGCGCCCCGCTCCACAGCGAAACGCATCAGGCGCAAATAAAAGACAGAAAACATTAAAGGAAATGAGCCGACATGAACGATCGCGTGTTAAATTAGTTTTTGAGGTGGCGACACCTGATTTGATAATGTTTCTGTGGCCGTGCTCAGGACGCAGATCTACCGACCGCAAAAACAGCGGAGTGCTCCCTGCTTGCCGGCCGCATCAGTGATCGGTGCGTCACCAGATGACAAGGTGATGCGCCCCGCTCCACAGCAGCGAAACACATCAGGCGCAAATAAAAGACAGAAAACATTAAAGGAAATGAACCGACATGAACGATCGCGTGTCAGTACCGACGCTCTGGCAGAGCGCGTTGTCCTCCCCAAGCGCAGGAGCTTGTCACCTGCTGATAGCAGGCTGCTGTCTTTTCCGAGGGCTGCATCTTGCCGGTCATTATCACGTGACAGCGACTAGTCGTCGACAGGCATAAAAAGTCCCTATAGTGAAGTCGACTAGTTCATACAACCCCTACTGCTCCCCAGTGTTCTGCAGTGCACATTCTCTTTGAACTTGATATCAAATTTTCGCCTCCTCTTCGTCTCCGCACGGTTAAAGTTACCCTTGCGGTCTATCACTCGCAAATCAAAAGTGAGACGATGACACAACCGCCCCCGTACTTGCTTGTTACCACATTCCACCCGGCCACAATAAGAGACCGGCCATTATTCACCTCCGCCGATGCGGACACCGGCCAAAATATGAGACCTGACCGTTAATTGAATACAGGCCTGTATTAGAGGATTTACGGTATCTAATTTTATCACCAAGTGTTATTCATCTGATCTCATTATTTTCTTTATCTTGAGGTAATGAGTCATTTAAAACATCATTTATTTATCTTGTTGCAGCAGCTTTTTTATCTCATCTTCTGAATAACAAACTGTTTATTTTATCTCATCGTGAGGAGTTATTTACCTTATCTTGGGAGAATGAGTGCTTTTCATCATTATAGTGACTTATTCATCTCTTTGTCACGTATTAATGACTTTTATTTATTGAGCTCATTATTATGGTATTTGTCCTGTAGGTTTGAGATGATGGAGCTTGTTCAAAATGTCACGTCAACATATTTGTCAAACGTGACTTGGAATGGCTCGTTTTGGTATTAGAAATATGTTGGAACAACAGCTGAACAACAACGTATTTCATCATAAATCAGGACAGTTATGTTGAAATGTTGCAGAACAACCTTCATTTATCTACACATTACTGTTATAAATCATCTCATGACAGTGATAATAAGTGAAACTGAATGGGGCACCAGAGCCATTTCTTTTTGCACCATAACCATCCCATTATCTGGAGAAAACAAAGCTTTGTTTTTCAAGATAACAAGATAAAATGAACATGGTTCTTTTAAGATAATGGAATTCTTAACCCGTGATTTCGAGGAAAATTACATCAAACTTAATTGCACGTCATTCTGGGCTTCCGTACACAGCCACTTTAAAATATTTCATACAAAATAAAGACTAAAGCCCCCTTTTTTTGTTTTTCCTGGTTTCATAAGCTAATATTAGCATCTTCAGCTGTTTTTGAGAGCAAATCCTTTCGTTATAGACTCTAGTTGGTCAGTAAACATAATCTGATTGAACATGAGGACCGTACAGGTCATTATTGATTATTTTTTGGCGGGGTTTAACCTGGTGATTGATCACGTCTTGTGATTAAAACTCGTAATTTTCAGGGGAAATTTGGGCTAAAACTCGATGTGTCATTCTCACGTTTCCAACTCATTCTTCAAACAACATAATGATACCAAGAACAGACCTCATACGGGGGCTGATCAGAGTACTTTTTGTTTGTCTTTCCCTTTTATGTGTGCCTCTTGCTGCGCTGGCTTTAGCAGAAAGTGCAGGAGCTAAGGAGACTAATGAGAAAGGCTGCTGCTCCTTAAATTGGTGTTGTTGGTGTCTGGTGGGGAGAATTGATTGGGAATGCTTGTGATGAAGTTGGAGCACTCTTAAAACGGCCGATCAGCAATCATCATTAATACATGGCGCAGCTAACACAGACCCATACAAATGAAGTTGTGACATTGCGTTTTTGTGGCATTTTGTCGCCAGGCCGGATTAATCTGTTTCACGGTCTACTTTATTCAGATAGCACCTTCACATGGCTGAAGAGTCAAACACAACTACACCATCATAAAAGAAAATGCCACACATAAAATGTATGGAACAAGGCAGACGACTTTCAAAACCAATTCAAACTTTTAACGGTTGAGCCAAGTGTCCACAGTTAGAACAAGTTGAGACCAAGAAAACCAAACAGAAGACGCCAACCTATCACAGCCTGTTGAGGCTGAAGGCTGAAGGCCAGGGAATAATGTGTGTATGTTCTTTTCTTTTTGTTAGCTTGCCAAGCCATCCCATATATGTACATATTTAGTCCGTATATAGCCTAGGGGTTGTATCGACTAGTCGACTTCACTGCTCTGTACTGACTTTTTATGCCTTTCATAGACTAGTCGCTTTCACGTGATAATGACCAGCAAAATGGAGTCCTCGGAAAAGACAGTAGGTGACGAGCCCCTGCTCGTCGTATCTAACGCCCGCGGTAAAACGGACATTTGACCAAATTGTGACCTTTAACCTCTTGCAATTTAACCTTCCCCTCACCCCCATCCTAACCTAAACCAGCTTGCGCATGCACAGCTTTGTTTCGCATTTCATCATTCCTCTCAAACACGCTTAATGGAAAATTTAGACTGGCATACTGGGTAAATGTTAGGGTGGGGGTGAGGGGAAGGTTAAATAGCAAGCGGGTAAAGGTTACAATTCGGTGAAATCTCCGTTTTACCGTGGACGTCAAAAAGCGATGCGCTGTGCCAGAGCATTACCTCCCGACGTGCTTTGGAAAAAAAGCGCTTGGTCACCCATTGTCAGTTTTAGCCGCTTTAGGTGTATGACGTCATTAAGGACTAGTCAAAGTCGACTAGATTTTCATTAGTTGACTGTCGACTTTAAAAAAAGGTAAGTCATGCAGCCCCTAATATAGTCTGACCCATAAAGAAAGTGACGTCTACATTTGTCTTTCACACGGTCTCATTTGGACAGTGCTACAACCAATCAGAGCAACAAACAACATGACGTGTTCATAGTGATGGGAAGTAGTGAACGGGGCAGTCCACCATACACCATCGAAGAAGTACCTCTATCTGCTCACGTCTCAAAGAAAATCCCAGATCTGAATCGTCCAGAGTTTAAGCCAAAGCTGTCTTCTTCCATCTGTCTCAGGCAACAAAAATGTCCCTCTAGAAACATAGAGCCCTGTGATTGGCCAGGCTTAAACTTAGCAGTGCCAATGGTAGACCAGCTGAGGCTACAATGGAGCATGGCTAGACCAACCTGCAGAGCTAATTTTTTTTACTGCTACTGTTGGTCTAGATTTCTAGGCCACCTTTTGTTTCGTTTCTTTTTGGTTTGAATGTAAGAATCAGTTATTTATTAATTTAAGAAAGTGGAACTAAAACATGTCAGGTTCTGTTCTGTTCAAACCCAGTAAATAATGACTTGGTTGTAAATGGTTCAAGAGCCATGACTAATATTTGACTGAGTGTTTATTCACTGTAGATTTTATATCCAAGGACCAAATTTGGCTGTAAGTGACGCAGAGCAAACTATTCAGATGGAAAATAAAGATTGTAGATTAGTTTGTGTGGAGCAGATTTATTATTTGGTCAATAATAATTTCAAGATCCATAAGGCTCTATTTATTTGATCATTTGTGTGCTGCATACCGGGCCTCGGCGAGTGTAAAATCCAGCTCAATCAGAGCTGCCGCCTCACAAGCACACGCGATTTAGTGTGCTCCGTTTAGAAGCCAGTTCATTCTGTCAAAGCTGATATTACAGGTTTTTTCTCCCCATCCATCAGCTGATTGTGTTTGAAATGTCAAAAATACTGAAAAATGCCAAACACCGTTTTCCAGGGTTCAGAGTTTTGCGTTTCGATTACTTAAGTTGTTTTAGTATCAACACAAAAACGATGCGTACAAAGACGTAAAACAGAGAGAAGCTGCAAATCTTCAGCGTGATGCTTTTAGATCCAAAGATATGTTTGACATTTTGTTTTTTAAAAAGAGAAGAAGAAAAAAAAAACAGAAAAGTCACTCAAACAGGAAGCTAAGGCTGCAGGAGTGTGTGTCTGTAGCAAGAGTTACACATCATCATAAAATAAACGTCGTAGATGCTGCATCGATGCTTGTCTCGCAGACAAGTTCAAGAACATGCTAGTATGTGTTTAATTCAGATACGTTTCCTTCTTTTCTTTTGTTTTTCAGTGAAATCCTTGTTTCCTACATCATCCCAACGTGCTTTAAAAGCAAACCGTACAGCTTTTAGAAGCGAGACGCAGTGAAACGGCTTTGTTGACAACAGTCATTTCATCCTCTTCATTGTAGAAGCTGCCAAGAGGAAGATTCATGCTCTGCTCCGACTGGTATTGCAGGATAAGATAGAGAAGCTCCAGCAGGGTTATTTTGGGAGGTTAGAGTATGGATTGTATAAAATCACAGATGAAAAAGTCTCAACCTATTTGCATTTTTGATGCAAACATTTTGCTCGTTATTTTCACTAATTTCTGCCTTTTTTCCAACCAATTTAAAAACCCAAAAAATTAACTACTATTAGAGATCTGGATCTCCATAGTTTTTAGTTAAAATGACAAACCAGGATTGTATTACGATGTTATCTGGAGGGTTACTAATATGCTTGTGTTAATTGCGAATAGGGAGGTGATTGTCAGGACAGTAACGATGCAGGCTGTAAAACCACGGTGACGTCTTCAGCTGCTATTAAATTATTGTTCTTGAGCTACTGAACCTGACAACGAACAGCAGACAGGTTATGATGCATTTCGCACCTGTCACACCCAATCAACACCCTGAGATTTTCTTCCTGTTGTGTTTCTTTTTTTTTCTGCGCACCCTGTGATCCTTTGACTGATTCCCTTCCTCCCTGTCTTTCTTTCCATCTCTCACATGTCATGCTGCATAATTTGCGTCATGGCCTCACTGTGCAAATGGGGAAAATTGTGGTGACAATTTCAATTTGGAAGAAACTCTAAGAGCACATAGTCAATTGACACTAGTTTCTGATTACTGCTGCCCTGATGTGCTGAGAGGCCTGTCCAGATTGTCCCTTACTCATACTGATGGAGCTTTGTGCACACGTCCATGCTGCAGCCTGCACTGCCACCTACAGGCTCCCTCATAGATGTATTTTTTTTTTTATAAATCTTTTCCCTCCTGTCCTCTTCATGCATTCTGCTTGTTTTACTTGGAGCGACTTGCAAATTGGGGATGGGTGGGAAGTTTCTGCATTATCAGCACCGTAATGCTGGCTGTTTGATATTCTGCCTGGGCTCTCCTACATCGAGCCTGTATAGAAAAAAAAGCAGAAATGTGAAGAATGATAATACGCACCTGCACCTGAGGTTGTGTCTGACCCTAGTAAAGCTTTCAGGAGTGTTTTTATTATTAAGTTACTGAATTATTTTGCACCTTCAGAGGTTTCTCTGTTGGAAATGGCCCTAAATCAAGTTTCAGGAGTCTGTGATGGGGTTGTTAAAAGTCAGCAGGCGCTGATAAATACGGTTAGGCAGCTCTCCATCACCCAGTCAGTGAGAGATTGATGCTTTGTTTTTTACCTTTTTATATTAGGTCAGATTGTTTCATTTATTTTCGTGTTTCTTCCCTCTCACACGCCTGTTTTATCCTGGATCAGTGTGCAGCAGCGCCCCGGTGAGCATGAAGATCCAGCCGCTGAACCAGACGGCATTGATCGTGAGCTGGGAACGCCCTCTGACCATCTACCACCCCCCCATCACCAGTTACATGGTCTCTTACAGCTGGGTGAAGCGGGACGTCGCGGATGAGAAGACCTTCTCTAAGACCGGAGACCAGAGCATGGTGAGACGTCGACACTGACAAACCGCTCATCACGCCCCGAGCTTCGGCTCCTAATTTGATTGAATTTAAGGTTGCGACAGCTTAAGCAGCTCTGACTGGAGCGCGGGGCCTCAGATGTATCTGTCAGGATGAAACGCTGGCTGGATCAGTGACGGTGTGTAAAAGGGGAGACAGGTTGTGATGAACTCTGCATGTGGCTTTTGGTTGATATGAGGACCCAGACGCTCCGCTGTCACTCACCTGTCTAACAATAGAAACACAGGCCCGTTGCAGACGTTGACGCGTCACAACTGATATATGTATAATGAGCTGACAAAAGCCCCCGTGGCCTTTGCTCACATGTAACTTTTTTTTGCCCCCCCCCATCACCCATTGCTGTTTGTTTTGATTTTGCATTCATTTAAATGTGAATCAGTCTCTGCAGTGGGCTTTCTGTGCAGCAAGGTCAAAAAGTTAATTCAAGCCAAAGCAGTGTAAACAAAAGTGGATTTGGCGCTTTTGTTTTACCGATGAGAATTTAAAGATGAAACAAAACAAACCCTGAGCTGGTTTCAGGCGGCAGAGACGGCTCTTTGAACGCCGACTTCCTTTAATAACAAATGCAGAGCAAATGTAGTCCCTAAGATCTCTGATCCACTGATCATTTACCTCAGCTCTACCACCTTAAACACCTCCTCAGTTCTTACTGTAACATTCACCGTGTCTACAGAAATAAATCTCCTTTCTGCAGGAGGCTGCACCTACCGGGATGCTCTCTTTCACACTATATAGTCTTCTCCATGGGCACACGTCTTTCCATTTCTGGGAATCCAACGCCCAGCTGTGCAGTTCTTCAAGGCCTGCCGACCCCCAGCTGTCTTGATAGTATGCATGACTGCCTCTTTAGATATAAACAGCACCAGGTCAAAGCATGCATCCCAGTCCTGGGATCAGCTCCCCGGTGACACCACCACCTTCAGCTCGGTCAATCACACGGTGGCTACAGCCGTGGGGTGGAGGCTGGTGGTGCAGCTTGCATCGTTGCTGCTTTAGTGACTCCTTTGCAGTTTGTTACACTGGAGCTTGTTTACAAGAGCGTTGTTGTCCTTTATCCAGCTTTTACGTGTTTGATGCCTCCATCATTGGAGGCATTGAATGAATCATGGCAAATGCTGCACTCAGCAACTACTCCGCAAATGGAGATCATTTGAATATTCATCATTTTTGGGAGAAAAGTGGAGGAGGAAATGCAGTTTTAAGGATTTTTAACCAGTTAATTGAACCTATTTAGATCGGGGAGAAGAAGAATTTCCTCACAACTGCTTCCACGGAGCTCATCTTTATGCTGCACGTCTTTAAAAAATGCCTGGAGGGGATCTTTAACTTAGAATCTAGTGGCTGAAGCTTAGAAGTGATGGACTTGTAAGTTAAAATGAATATGCAAAAAGGCTTCTTGCTGTCAAGGACAGCCTTACAAATTAAGTTAATGCTATGCTCAGCTAAAGATGGATTAATATTTATTTCCTCTTCTCTAGGATTCTGCACCCTCAGAAGTCTGCCTTAATCAGGGCTGCTTCTCCAACCTGCCACAATGCTTCTGTTTGATTTTAAACATATAAAACATTTCATCTGAAACCTCCTCTAGCTGGTTATTTGCTACTCCAGGCAATTTGCAGCAACATTTCGGTGACCTTTTAGTTCTCTATCAACCATACCGCGCCCTGAGGTTGTCTGGCTCAACTGTCACATCTCTCCAGTCGAGTCTTCATTCTCTATTTTCTCTGGGCTTGTCATGAGACGCAGGAAGGCAGAGTCTTCTCTATTAGGGCTGCTATACCGTGGAGAAACCTGTGTGGGTGGAAGATGTGAAAGAAAGTCATTTTTTAAAACCCATATTTGAGGATTGTTTGTTTCTTTTTTTTACTTTTTGAGGCTGCGTTCGCTCTTGAACGCTTTTCAAACCAACAGTTTTCCAATTTTTTCCAACTTGTTATGATATATCTTTGTTTCATTATGAACTCTGTGTTTATATTGTTGTCATTCCAGCTCAGACGGGTGATTGAGAGAATGATTACTGTATTCATGTGCTAGCTGTAGCTGTATAATTATACTTCTGTCATTACTGTCCACTTCTCTCTCAGCTGTCAGTCTCTTATTTTGCCCACTTTCATTTCCATTTCAATTTTCCATTTCTGTCTGTGGAAACTTTATCTGAATTATTACAAAGAAAAAAAAGGCAATCACCAGTCCAATTCTGTGGACATTTTTAATAGAACTACAGCCATCTGTGAACACTATCAAATTAAGCAGAAAGAACCAGTGAAGCTTAATATAATCTAGTTCCATTTTAGCCACCAGCATCCACTCTTTTAAATGTAATTTTATAGTATTTTTCTGTGTGTGTGTTTGTGTTGCAGAAAGCCATCATTAGTAACGTGTCTCCTGACCTCCTCTACCTGTTCAGAGTGCAGGCTGTGTGTCAGCATGACCTGCGCAGCGACTTCAGCCAGACGCTGCTGTTCAGAGGTACTCGGCCAAAGGCCACAGAGTCATTGTGCAGCATTTGTCGTTTTGGAAAGTCGGAGCACAGAGAATTTATATTTTCCTCTTTTCTCCTTGCAGCAAATACAACAAGGATATTTGAAGGGTCTCGGATTGTGAAGACGGGGATGGTTAGTTGGCCAGAAGATGGCGGTGCAAATGTCGTTTGTGTGTTTGAAGAGTCATCTTGTGTTCTGTTGTGTAACAGCTTGTTTTCTCGCCTGCCTTCAGCCAACTATCTCTCCAGCTTCTTCTGCGGACATGGCTCCCATCAGCTCCGGTTCCTCCACTTGGACGTCGTCAGGAATCCACTTCTCGCTCGTCTCCATGGCGACCGGGATGGGCCCGTCCTCCAGTGGCAGCCAGGCCACGGTGGCATCGGTGGTGACGAGCACTTTGCTGGCAGGCCTGGGCGTGGGTGGAGGGGTGATCTCCTCTTTGCCCAGTTCCGCCTGGCCCACTCAGGCTCCCCGTGCCAATCAGAACCCGACGCCTCCATCCACCGCGCCCGCAAAGCCCAGCACGGAGCAGACGGCGGCTCAGGGAACTGAAACGGACAAGCAGTCTGAAGACAAAGAGGATGCGAGTCAGGGTGACGAGGATGAGAATGAGGACAAGGGAGAGGGCGAGGAGAAGGAAGAGAAGGAAAACAAGAAAAAGGGCAAGAACTCACCTGACGATAGGGAGAAACAAGCAAACAGCACTGAGTCCAAGGAGCCTTTAATCCCTACCCCCGCATCCACAGCCAAAGAGAAAGGAGAGAGCAAACCGACAGTGAAAGGCAGCGCCGTCCCTGCAAGCACCGATGACGAGCATTTGATCAACAAGCAGAAGAGTCCCACACAGGTCAACGCCGTCTCCACTCAGGAGCCCCGTAACGACAGCGCTGTGATGCAGATTCCCCAGAACTCCACGCCATCTCCCAAGAATAATGATGGAAACAATCTCTGGCCTTTCTCTGTCCATACTGGTGAGCAGATCTCCTTTCAAACACAGATTAAACCCCCTTTCAAAACAGAAAAGTCTCCCTTTGAACTCTTAGTGAGCCACGGTTTCTCGTAGCACCGCTTTACCGCATGTTTCTGTTTCTTCAAAGCTGAATTCTGCAAGCACAACTAGCATTTCTGAAGCCTAATTTAGAAGAACAAATAACGATACAAGACAGTAAATACACTAGTTACCATCTCACTCAAAGACAAAGCTCCAGGCTTTTGTGTCACTACAACAGAGGCCTGGAGGAAGAAGACGACACTCTGCCAGAGGGGTTCTGCCTCAAGGAACTCCTTTAAGCAGATTTCAAAAGAGTTAGCTTCAAGGGAGAGCTTTGTGGAGGTTTTTATTTTATTTTTATTTTTTCTGCCATCACAGTGTCAGAAACGGTAAGTTCTATGAACATAAATTCTCAGACAGTGAATTATACGCCCAGAATTTTGCAAAGATGAGATTTGCACAAGAATTGGAAACAATTTGCTGTGTCGTTTTGAATCTGAGGGGAAGTGCAGCTGCTGAAGGTTAGGGCTGGAATAATGTTACTCTGCCGTTATAACTAGTCTTTATTCATTTGCTCAGACGATGGCACCGTTTATGAATGTGTCTATCAGCCGTATGAACGTCTTTTATTCCAGAAACTTTCAGCTCTGTTCTCTGAAAGCCTTGAACTGACTCTAGGACCTCACATCAAACTCAACTTTTAATACATGAATTATGGTTTTTCTTTCTTTGAAACATGATATATCACAATTTTTACTAATATTAGCCAACAAATACAAAACAGATTATGGGATTAATTTGAGCATTTTACAAGTCTGGATGAATATATGCAAGAATAAAACAGGGAAAGATCTCATTTTCTGGTTTTTATTTATTTATTTATTTTTTTACTAAAAGAAGTTTAGAAAAAAATATTGAAATTGGTGCGTTTCATTGTACTCATCTGCTAGATGGAGTTAAAGCTGCAGCATACGTCGGTTTCTCTCTTCTCATGTTGATGCAGAGTGTGAGCAGTAATGATGGTAATGGGACGTGGCTGTTCTGAGGCTTTCAGTGAAGGTGTTATGGGAGTTTGTGGTCCCCATCTGGTTCCTGTACAACAGCAGCTAGAGAGATCAGAGGTCTTGGTTCTTGACCAGAGAAGGCCACGATGCTACGGCTTATCTAAGAGTGAGTTTCTGCCTGGAGTAGAGGAGCTCAAGTGTCTTCACATCCTTTTAATTTTTTCACTGGTGATGGAGAAACATCCTGACGGATCGGGGCTTTGTCTGCAGTAATGGGAACATTGGTCTGGTCTGTCATGGTGAAGAAGGCGCCGAGCTAAAAGACAAAGTGCTAAAGTCCATTCTTCGCCTCTGATCATGAGATTTGGATTGTTTCTGAAAGAATGAGATCCTGAACAGCAGTGGGTGGAATGGTCTTCTTGGTGAGGTGGCCAGGCTCTTTCTTAGAGATAAGATAAGGGACTCTATCATCTGAGGTGAGCTCAGAGTAGAGCTGCTTCTCCTCAGCTAAAAGAGCCTGTTGAGGTGGTTCAAGCATCTGATCAGGATGTTTACTGGTTGTCTTCTTCTGGAGGGTTTTCAGAGGGATGGATGTATGAATTCATGGATGAAGGCATGGATTAATAGATGTCTGCACAAATTGTAGATGTATGTATGGGTTAGTAGATAAATGCAAAGTTTGATGGATAGATGGCAATACATGGATACATGGATTAAGACGGGTGTCAAATATGCGGCCCGCGGGCCGGATGCGGCCCGCAAGCGGGTTCAATCTGGCCCACGAGATGGTTGTGTAAACTTTATTTTCATACTTTACAATGTAGAGTGAAAATAAACTTGTCTTTGTGAGCAAGTTTTCTCTGTAATGAGTATAAATAAAACAAAGCTACGCTCAAGGCTCACACAAGAACTTGAATCACATCCTGAAGTTGGCCGCCACTCGGGGTGTGACTTCTGATATTGATGTGCTGGTGAAAGCTAAAAGATGTAAAGTAAAATGAGTCAAATATACTTTAAGTGCTGCATAAAACTGATCTTGCCATGTGATCTGTAAACTGAATCACTAAGGAATGTTTTTTTTTTTTTTTTTTTTTCAAATTTTCAAGTACACTTCAGGTGTTGTACTTGTACTATTTTGGATACACTGTTCTCAGGCTCCAGCCTCGTTTTATATTGATTGTATTAAAACAAAGAAAACAATCTGAAGTTGTTTTTTTTTTTTTTTTACCGGCCCGGCCCACTTGGGACTAGATTTCCCTCAATGTGGCCCCTGAGCTAAAATGAGTTTGACACCCCTGGATTAAGAGATAGATAGACCCATGGATGTGTAGGGATGGGTGGATGGATTAATAGATGTCTGCCCAAATTATAGATGTGTATACGGATTAATAGACAAATCCACAGTTTAATGGATGGATGAAAATCATTATGTTTTTACAAATGTATTTCCCTGAAAATTACTCTTTCCTGTTCTCAAATCAAACAGTTGCTCTTCTGTTTCTTTGCTCTTTAATTATAATTTTTTTAATTCGGCCAGTCGGGAGTGTGGATATAGGATCCATAATCACTGTAACCACTCGTTCTAAATATAAAAAAACAGCTCTGCATGCTAATACGTTGACACACATCAGCTGTGTGTTTGTGTGTGACTCCGTAGACCGAACCATCTTGTCCAGCACGGCGCGGACCCCTCACCCAGGAATGGGCCGGATGGTGTGGATCGTTCCCCTAGTGGTGGTGTCTGCTCTCACCCTGCTGTGCCTCATCATGCTGCTGATCGTGATGGTCTACTGGAGGTGAGCTCAATACATCTTCTCTAACCACATTACAGCAGCAGCATCATGCTGCTGGAATGTTTTTTAGAAGAGGAGGAGGTCATTGATCAAGTGCTTTTACACAATTGTCTTCATGAGGGGAGTATTACTCGATCTCACCTCCTCCCACACAGACTCGCCGGTTCGTTTCACACTTCTGGGTTCCTCATCCAGCCCAACGTGGTCTGGGAGTGTTTTTTTTTTTAAGCCATCAATCTAAATGTAGTAAAGATCCTCCCTCGCTCTTTCTTTGCATATTAGCTCCATCACCCAACTGGGGGAAAGGGAAGAGTCCTGAAGGCCCTGCACTTCCAGCACAGGTCCCAGCTGTGTCTTCTTCTGCTGGGCTAATTTCCAGCCACGCCATTGGAGCCTCAGTAATTACACAGGCCAGGCCACAAGCACATGTCGGATGGTGCTTAATGAGAAACAAACAGCACTACGGACCACTTCCTCAGTCGGTGCCAGACTTATTTACTGCAGCTGTTCGTGTAGGATTATGTTTGTTTTTACTCAGCTTTTATTTTATTTATTTGTTTTTTCTTCTTGGATTGTGCTGCTCGGCGAGATCATTGCTGCAAATGTTGATAGCACCTTACTGTGGCAGATAATAAAGTTGCGATATAAATAAAAGCCATGCTATCAGCTCCGTGGAGGTGTAAAAAACAGACAGCTGGAAAGAAGGTGACTGTGGCAGATTTGGTGGTTGGAGGAATTACTGGGAGTTGTGGTGTTGGAGTAGAAACATGGGGGTAGCTTTGAGATTACAGCAGCTGTTGTTGTGACAGCTCAGAAGGTTCAGAGACGATGGCTGCTTTCCCCAGGGGAAAAGGCCACGACAAGAGATAAAAATTCACACTCTCTTAAATCTTCTTCTGCATAGTCTCTTGGTGATGAACACGCTGTTAAAGCCAGCACCTCTGGACGCAGACTTATCACTCGTTGTTGACTCAAACGTGTTTATTTACTGTTTTAGCCACATTTAAAAGTCTTGTGATGATTCATTTATCTTCTTTGGCCAGTCTCTAAGTTCTGACTCCATCCACTGTGGATTTAATTGCCAGGGTTAGGGTGCGCATCTGGAATCCTCCGAGGCTCTAGGTGTTTCTGTAGAAAACTCAGACATATGTCGAAACCAGAACAAATCCCAAGTCTTGTTAACACCTCGCTGCTGCTGATACCTGCGTTTCCTGGAAGGCCTCGGTTTAACCCCGGCTTCGGCTTCCTCCAAAACCAGCTCTTCCTCCGGAGCTGTCGGGAGCAAGTTGCCACGGCGATGCTGACGGTGCTGCTTAGGTAGCCGGACCACATCTGCACTCCAAGGGAGCCGTTAGATTAGGAAGGAGTGACGCAAACCAGGGGGAGATCTCTCCTCCTCCCACATTGTTTTTTTTCCTCCTGTCTCCTCTTTCTGTCTCCTATGCCGTGCCACCTTTTTATTTTTGTTTCATCTCCCTTTAAGAATGACGAGCATCTGCTCCCTCCTCTGCAGCAAGTACAGGTAGGACTGACTTTGGGTTGTGGCAGCAGTATTTATCCCATCGATGCCAGAAGAGATGGTGGCTATGCAAGGTGTCTAGGACTTGAATCTTCTCCCCTTTGTGTTTTCAGTCCGGTTTGAATTGTAAATGTTTTTTTTTTTTTTTTTGGTCTCCCACAGTGGAGGAGTTCATCTTGAATATGGAATACATTAACCTCAAAAGCTGGTCTTTCCCAGAGCTGAACCCCCCGACTAAATAATGTAGATGATCTCTAATGATTAGGACTTTAGTTTTTCTCTCTGCAAACTTTTAACCCGAGTCTGTGTTGAATTTAGGATAATTTTTGTAATAATTGCTGCAGTTTTCAGGGCGATTAACATTTGGGGGAACTTTAGTGTGAGGAGGGTGTGTGTTTAGTTTTTGTTTTGTAGAGCTGGGAAGCTAAAACTCGGCACTGTGCTTGTGTGAGTCTGTGTGTGCGTAGTTTACCTTTTCCCAGAAGCCTGCTCTGGCTGCGTTTCCAGGAGCCGCGCGCGCCGTGTGCCATCAACCATGTCCCATCTACTCTGGGGTTTTCATTAGCACTCCTCAGCTGTTGTCATTTCCTTCAGCATTTCTATGCTAATGTTGACAGGCTACATCTGAGGACAAGTCCCTAACACACTTTACTGCACCGTTTCTGATGATGGCGTGTGCTGCAGTCACCTCTCCCTGTGTCCCTGTAGGAGGTTTTTCCAGACGGCTCATTTCTATGTGGAGGAGAGCAGCTCTCCACGGGTGGTGGCCAATGAGAACATCCCAATCATCCCCATACCAGGTCAGACACACGTCATTTCCTACATATGTTTAAAATAGAGTGTAAAGTTCTCCGGTTAACATATGTGACGTGAACTGTAAGATGATTGTATCCCATAATGTGTCTGAATGCTACATATTTTAAATAAAAATGGATGAAGGAAGATTTTACCGCTGTGGGAAATGTATTTTATGAATAGTCAAATAGAAGAAAAAGATCAAAGGCTGTTTAGCTGCTTGTTTTAAATCCAACGTTTACATTCTCTTATTGAAGCTAAAAACGGGAGTGTGAAGGGAAACGTACAGACGTGAGCTGAGATCCGTGTCAGCTGATGAAAGCACACCTCTACTCCGTCTCATTAGCTGTTTTCAGATGGGTTCTTGTATTACCTCGACACCTTTGTGTTTACATTTCTGTTCATTTAACATGTGAAGTGACTCTTTGAACAGCTTTATACGAGTTGAGTGACTGGCTTTTCTTTGCACTTAATATCCCAGCCAGCAGAGCGGTGGCAGCTCGTCGATATCCGACTTTACTCTGTCTCTTAAAGCTCAGGGACGTTTTAGAGCAGCCCGGGCTTTACCCATCTTTTCTATTCGTCCTTCTGACGTTTTTCCTCCTCCTCTTGACTTTCCTTCTGTTGTTTCCTTCCCAACCCTTCTTTTTTTCTTTGCCCTTTCATTCACTTGTCTTTCTGTTCTTCTTCATCTGTCTTTCTCCTTTTCTTTTCTTCATTTGCATGAAATTTTATTTTTTGTTCTTTTGTCCTCCCTCCTTTCCATCTTTCATTCATTCATTTCCTTCCTTCCTTCCTTCCTTCCTTCCTTCCTTCCTTCCTTCCTTCATGCTATTCTTCCTTACTTTCTTTTCTTCAAGTTCTTTCATTTTCTTTTTTCTCTTTACTGCCCTGTTCTGTCCTTATTTCCTTCATTCATTTAATTCCTTCCCTCCTTCCTTCCTTCCTTCCTTCCTTCCATTTTGCTTACCTTCAATCATTTCCTTCTTTCCTTTACTTCACTTTACTTGTATAATTGATTTGATTCCCCCTGTTTCTTCCTTCCATTCCCTTAAATCTTCCCTTCTTTCTTTCTTCTTCAGTCATTGTTTTTGTTACTCTGTTTTCCCTCATCCTCTCTGTTCTTATTTTATTTCCTTCTCTTGTTTTCATCTGTTCATCCTTATCTACCCCATCCTCTCTTAGTCTTTTCTCTTTTTCTTTCATTCCTTCATTTGCTTCTTTTGTTTTTTATCTCCTCTTCCCTTTTCCTCCTTTTACTCAGTTGCCACGTCCCATCCTCCCTTCCTCGCCTCCCCTGAATGACACGTGCTGTAGATGGATGAATATTTATGATAAAGTCATCTGAGCGGTTTTACATCGTTATAAAAGGAGAATGGTTCTAATCAGCCGTGGTCTGTTAGAGTTTCTGTCCGCTGAAGGCACCTTGATAGATGACCAGATTAATAAATGAGAGCTCACCTTTATGCTGGAACCACTGAAGCAAGTGAAACCCCACCCACCCACCCCATGGCCTCAGCTGCTGAGGTGTGTTGGTTAAGACACTGGCCTGCATCAGCGGCCATGACAGCTGAGTCCCCTGCATCGGCGTGTCCCGTGCCAACCAGCCTTATCAAACATCCTTCATGTGTGATCTGGGGCTGATCTGGCTCAGATGAAACAGATGCTCCCTCCCATAAAAAGTCCCAGCGCTCAGATATTTGTGTTTCTGAGGTTAGTTTGCCAAATCAAATGATTCCTCGTTAAAAATACTGTGTCTGCTGAGATTGGTCCTGAATGATCAACAATATTTGTCTCCAAGTCAGGATTATGTATCCCACGTTGGCCAGATGAACTTTACTTCAACTGCCGTGTGTTTCTCCTGCAGATGACATGGACGCCATCCCCGTCAAGCACTTTGTCAAACACATCATGGAGCTCTACAAAAACAACATGCAAGGCTTTGCTGAAGAGTTCGAGGTGCGTTTTTAACGCTGCACTGATGCTGATTCGATTTGTAGCGCTGCTAACCTTTACTTTACCCAAACGAGGCATGAAGCAACCAAACCATGCATTAAGATACATTCATCCTCTCTCCCGATAGGCTGCAGAGCACAGGAGTGTTTTAGTCGATTGCGTCCAAACAGTAGTTAGAATTGATATAATGAGTTTGTGTGTGGAGTCACTAATTCTGGCCAGATGGTTGAGAGAGAGATCACAGAGATGAAGGTTAATTAGTCGGCCCTTTCTGCTGGTCGACTGGATGGGAACACGTTCCTGTGTCTGTGTAACTAGGTTAAGAACGGAGGCGGAAGCTTCACCCCTAGAGTGTTTCCTCTAATTGGGGTTATTTGATGTGAGGCTGGTGTGCATGATTTTTCTAATGCACCAGGATGAAGCCGTGTTGGAAGTGACTGCCTTTTGTGGACGGCTGAATGCACTAAAGTGTAGCGGAGAGGAAAAGAAGACGACTGTTCTACTGTAGGCTTTAGTTCAAGCCCCAGTGGCGGTTAGCATCTGCTCTGCTGAAGCGTCCTTGACTGAGACTCTGAATCCCTGCTGGAAGTTCACTTCATCTTCAGCTCGGAGCTCCTGGAAAAAAAAAAGTTTCCCCTAAAAAATGAAAGTCAGAATAGAAGTGTGTCATGGAAATCAAGCGACTAATTCTATTAGCTCATCTGTTCTTGTTTAATAAAATCCATTTCTGTCTATTTTTCTGTCTCTGCAGGACGTCCAGCGCTCCACCGTCGACTTAAAAATCACAGCAGAGCATTCCAATCATCCTGACAACAAGCACAAAAACAGATACATCAACATCGTGGCCTGTGAGTCAGCCGTAAAATCTGATTAGGATGTCTACCACTGTGGGATTCAATAACATTTTGATATCAGGTTTTCATCCTTTTCATAATTCCCTATAAATACATCAATCCCGTTTCTCCCTAGATGACCACAGCAGGGTGAAATTACGAGCTCTGCCGGGGAAAGATGCCAAACATTCGGATTACATCAATGCCAACTACGTGGATGTAAGTTCTCCCATTTCACTCGTGGCTTGTTGTTTTTAATTTGTGTTTGTTAATGCAGGTCACAGATTGGTGATGGCAGCAGGCGTGAGCTGTGAACGAATTATTCAAGGTGCTGCCGTGCTCCGCCGTTCCATTTAGAGTACCACGCAAGGCGTCAGGCAGCACAAAATCAAGTGGCGGGAATAAAAATAAAAGGATAACAGCACTTGACACGAACAGAGGGAGAAGTGGGTTTTATCACCTCCTGGAGTTGCAGTTGCTGAGAAAATAAAAAGCTTCCTGTTTCAGGGCTACAACCATCCCAGAGCTTACATCGCCGCCCAGGGTCCCCTCAAGTCCACGTTCGAGGACTTCTGGAGGATGGTGTGGGAGCAGAATACTGGAATCATCGTCATGATTACCAACCTGGTGGAGAAAGGAAGGGTAGGTCCCCCCCCACACACACACACACACAGCTGTTCATGTCACAACAAAAGACCTGATGAATCCCTTGCTGCTGCTGGTGTGTGTTTCAGAGGAAATGCGACCAGTACTGGCCGATGGAGAACAGCGAGCAGTATGGAAACATCGTGGTGACGCTGAAAAGCACCAAAGTGCACGCCTGCTACACGCTGCGCCATTTTCTTATACGGAACACGAAAGTTAAAAAGGTAACAGGATAAAACGTCTCAGGCAAATAGAGTTGGTCAGTAAATACATTTAGGGCTGAAAAGATTCAGTAAAGATTCAATAAATTCCTTGAACCATTTTTACTGATTCGAAGCTTCTGCTGCTGCGGCTCTGCTCCGTAACGCTGCAGCTCCAGACATCCACAAATAATCAGGATGGGGGAGATTTGTCTTCCATAGAGTTTAGCCACTCGCAACAAATCGTGCTTTTCTGAACCACACTAGATAGTTGGTGCGCTACCCGCTAGCATTAGCATTCTGCACTTAGTTTCTCTCTTGATCCCAAACTTTGGACCGTTTTTGTCTTTTACAATGATGTCTTTGCTGGTTTCTCTGTTTTTCGCCACAACACCTGAATTATCACGCTGTGCACCGTTGAAATGTGTTCAGACTGAAGTGTGATGAGGGTTCAAATCCCGGCCGGGTCATACCAAAGACCTTAAAAATGGGGGATTGTATGTATTAATGCATACAATCAAGTCTTTTCTAATTCTGTTATTTTATTCCAGGTTTTTAGCAGCAGACCACAGTCTCGTCTCACTTGAAACATCATCAAGTAGACTATTAATATTAAAAAAATAAATGTTCGATAGCTGCAGCCCTAGATACATTTGATCTTATAAATAGGTTTTGTGAATTTAAGTTGCTCTTTATTTTATTTATTCATTTTTTAAATTCTTAAACATAAATCTTAATTTTTTTTATATTTCTTTCCTCGAATAGCCAATTGTTGTTTTCTATATTATTTACATATGGAGTCATTTAAAATTTAAATCCATTTCTAAATGCCACTTTGTTTGTTTGCATGTTTCCCTTCTGCTCATTTCCCTAAGCTTGTGACTCTTACATTATCACACGCTTTTCTGCTTCTTAGCATTGGGTTGCTCAACAGAGAGTGGAGATGAATACGGAAGAGAGGATTTGTCCTATTATTTTTACTAGGAGATGTTTTTTAATGTATAAGTTAATGCATTTTTTAAAGCGTTTCCATGTTACGACCTGCTAAGAAGGTCATGTGAGTGGCTTGCTTTGTCATTCTGCATAAAGTTTTGAGCTGCAGCAGTTCGACTGTCAGTGTTTGTGTCTGATAGATGATCTCGTCTGAGTTGTAATTTTTTTAAACCATCATATGATGCGTACATTTTTTGTGACGTTTCAGGGTCAGAAAGGGAACCCGAAGGGGAGGCTAAATGAGCGCATTGTGATCCAGTATCACTACACTCAGTGGCCTGACATGGGAGTACCCGAGTACACACTTCCTGTCCTCACCTTCATCAGCCGCTCCTCCGCGGCTCGGACCGTGAACACGGGCCCGGTTCTGGTCCACTGCAGGTGAGCCGTCACCGCCGAGCTCCGGGGCTGAACGAGGGCTCCTGATGAGACTCGTTTCTGCTGATACGGCCCTCTGAGGAGTTGCTCACAGTAGCTTGTGCTGTGCTCTTCAGTGCAGGGGTTGGACGCACGGGAACGTACATAGTCATCGACAGCATGCTGCAACAGATCAAGGACAAAAGCACAGTCAGCGTCCTGGATTTTCTCAAACACATACGCACACAACGCAACTACCTTGTCCAGACGGAGGTAAGACGCCGAAACTCGTCATTAACTCCGGCGGAAACGGGATTGCTCGTCTAAAGGTCAACTGTGATTTAGGCTGGAACGGCAGTTATGAAATTTATTCAGTTTGATACTCTGAGCCCAGGTAAAGGTTACCCTGGCTGCAATTTGAGCGCAGCTCCAGAGTTTAAACTGTTCCACACAGCTCATAATACAGATGAGTGCTACGGCAGGGCTGGTGCACACCGCTGTTCACGGGCATCCAGACGCGCTCCTCACTTCTCCTACTGCTGGATTTAGAAAGAAACAAATGGCAGGGTGCTTTTGGCCTCATGCTGTTAACTTAATGGGACAGTTAATTTTAAACACACATGCTGCATGGCTCCTTGTGTAAGTCTCACGAAATTAAAATGATGCCACTTTGTTCCAGTGAAACACACGGTACGACATTCCTGATCTCGTGGCAGGGTCATCGTCAGCTCTTATCCTCCATCTTATCAACGAGAGATCTCACGTTCCCTGCTACGATCGTTGGAAGCGACGGTTTAAACGTCCTCTCTCTCTTACCATTGCTCCTGCTCTGCACCCACGTCTCCTCTCCTCTGTAATTCATCTGAGATTTGGGGTCGCAGTTTGAGTGTCATTTGAGCTTCTGAGGTGTCAGGAAGCTGCATCTTGTAAGCAAGTGTCTCGTTGCTATAGTTACGCATCACAAGAAGTGGTCAGAGAGTAGAGAAGTAATGGATAAAATCCTACGAGCAGCACAGGAACAAAAAACTAAAATATCCTCACATGACAAAAAGCTGCCAACATTTTTTTTTTACCATTTTTAGAATAGAGTGTGATTATGGATGGATGGATCGGGTAGACGCAGCGGGAAGAGCAGAATAAAGTTGGATCGTGTTAGGTGGGAGGAGAGGAGAGGAGATGACATCACTGTTTTTGCTAGGGTGGGACCAATCTAGTTTATAAAGATGACTTCCGTGAAATCCTTCCCCACACAACACCTGCGTCTTAGACAATCGATTCAATGTATAAGATTTGGTGGTCTAGTGGTGCCGGTTCGATTCCCGTTGAGCGGTAATTCATTTTCTTCTTTTTTAGGTACACTTGCCAGTGTTATGTTTTAAACCCTTCATTAGTAAACTGTTTAAAGTAGCAGAACTAATCAATATATATATTTTTTTTTTTGCTCTTTTTTTTTTTTGCTTTCTTTTACTTGCTTCTATTTTTTCATAATTTGGTTTTATTGATAATTTTCTGCTAAATATTTTGCGCCTCTAAAGATCTTTGAATTTGGTCATTTCCGACCATGACTTTAGTTGTAGAGCTCTGGACGGGACACAGCAGTCCCAACAATCGACTCTGCTCACCTCACATGGACTTGCGTGGGCTTCAGACGGCTAAATAAACATGGAAAGTAAAAAATAATAATTTGTCTTCCTGATATGAACTGTTTACCAATAAAAGGTTGCAAACATAATACTGGCAAGTATGGCTAAAAACGAAGAAATAAATTACTGCTGAGACTTCATTTTTATTTAACCAGATGATTCGAGACGAGAACGAACCAGCGCCAGGACATGGCAAACAGGGTGAAAGACAAACGCTCTAACCCACCAAACCTAATAAAGGTCCTGTGCTGGCCATTACTGGGCGGTAAGAACAGCAGTCGTCACAGAGCTGATCTGCCAGTTCACACCCAAACAACAGATGACACAGAAATACCTAAAAGATTCAAACTCTCAGATTCAGAATTTTTACACACTTATTAAAAAAAATAATAATAATAAATTAAGTATTTACAGGGAATGGAAAAACAGCTAATGCAATAATGAATGCCTTTGTTTTCTTCTTATGTACATTTTAGTTATCCCTAAAACATTTTAGGAAATGACCTCATTTACTGCTTTATATTTAAACTGAAGTTACCAGTTAAAGGAAGTATAAACATAAATGACAATTTTTGACAAAATGGTAACCTTAAGAGCTGTGAATCATTTTGACTTATTAATAATGGTTAGACTTTTTAAATTCCGTTTTCATTGCAATACATCCATCCATCCATCTTCTGAACCCGCTTTGTCCACGTAGGGTCGCGGGTGGGGCTGGTGCCTATCTCCAGCAGTCAACGGGCAAGTAGGCGGGGTACACCCTGGACAGAGAGCCAGTCCATCGCTGGGCAACACAGAGACACACAGGACAAACAATCATGCACACACACACACACACACACACACACACACACACACCCACACACACAATCACACCTAAGGACAATTTAGACAGACCAGTTAACCTAACAGTCATGATTTTGGACTGTGGGAGGAAGCCGGAGCACCCGGAGAGAACCCACGCATGCACAGGGAGAACATGCAAACTCCATGCAGAAAGATCCCAGGCCGGGAATCGAACCCAGGACCTTCTCGCTGCATTGCACTATATATTCTCATTGCAATATAATTTAAGTTTACAGAGAATTTAAATATACTGCAAGTAAATAAACTTTTTGAAGTTTGAGTAAAAATAATAATGCTAAAAAAAATCTAATGACGCTGTAATTTGTCTTTTTTATTACTTTGATTCATTTGCGATTAATGTAAACACACCTTGTGTTTCCTCCATCAGGAGCAGTATGTTTTCATCCACGATGCTCTGATGGAGGCTATCCTCAGCAGAGAGACCGAGGTGCCCGCCCTGAAGCTGCACAGCTACGTCAACAGCATCCTCACGCCCAACTCCACCGGCCGAACGCGGCTGGAGAAGCAGTTCAGGGTGAGTGACGCCGTCTCGCCTCAGTGCCGTTAGCTGGGTCTGAGGCGGTCTTTGGATCACAAGCTTGTTAGCAACATCCTCGGTGGCTTCTTACTTACACACACACGCACGCACGCACACACACACACACACACACACACACACACACACACACACACACACACACACACACACTCAGATTGAAAGCGTCTTTGATGTAAGCTGTAATAAAGTCGTGTCTGTCACCCCGCTGCTTTGCAAAGTTTGATGAATGTTTCATCAAGCTGCTCCTCTTTCAACATGAAGGCAGAAAAAAAAATAATTACTCACATCATGTCACTTATTTCTGAGCCTCACACACTCATTATTAATGTGAGAGATGTGTTGTTAATTTCAGGTTGCTAAACAACATTGTGTCTCACTCATCCTGTTGGATTCACCGCGGCTCTCCGGACTCTTTTGTCTCTTTTCCAGCTGCTGAGTCAGTGCAACACGCGCTTCGTCGAGTGCTTCAGCGCGCACAAAGACTGCAACAAGGAGAAGAACCGCAACTCCTCCGTGGTTCCTTGTGAGTATTCACCACAACATCCCCACGTTGGTCCCGAGGTTGAACAAACAGCCCATCGCGGCTCATTTCTGTTATTTTGTTTTGTTTCTCTTTCAGCCTCTAAATAATTAAGACAATTCATATTCCAAATTTAGAATCCATTTCCATAATCCTATAAGTTAATCTTTCTGTGCGTCCTCGGCATCCTGACAGGAGGAAAGGAGATACGGGTTGCTATGGCAACAGTGAGACCTGATAATGAATGTGTGCATTATCAGGCAGTGTGATATAATGGAGGCCTGGGTTGTGATTTAAAGCTTGTTTTTTCTATCTCTACCTCACCAGCGGAGCGAGCGAGGGTTGGACTCACCACTCTGCCAGGCATGAAGGGAACAGATTACATTAATGCATCCTACATAATGGTACAGTGTTGATTATTAATGAGCCGCGTTTGCTTATCGTCAGCCATTGAGCCTCTGAAAATGACAATTTAGAAAACAAGTTGCGTGAAACGGTCATCCTTTAGAAACGCTAACAGCTCAATTTCGTCACCTCAGGGCTACTACAGGAGTAATGAGTTCATCATTACCCAGCATCCTTTGCCCCACACCACCACAGACTTCTGGAGGATGATTTGGGACCACAACGCTCAGATTATTGTCATGTTGCCTGACAACCAGGGTCTGGTAAGTAACAATGGAAATGTTAATCACCAGAAGGAAGACTAATGGTGAAGAAATGAGAGGCGACACATGTCACCGTTTCCCCTGCAGGCTGAGGATGAATTTGTTTACTGGCCAAGTCGGGAAGAGGCCATGAATTGCATCGCCTTTACCGTCACTCTCATCAGTAAGGACAGACTGTGTCTCTCCAACGAGGAGCAGATCATCATCCACGACTTCATCTTAGAGGCCACGCAGGTAGCCGCTCCCAAGCCCCCAGCAGGAGTCCGCCTACGGGAGCCCGGACGTCTCACTGTCCCTCTGTGTTTGACAGGATGATTACGTCCTGGAGGTGAGACACTTCCAGTGCCCTAAATGGCCCAACCCTGATGCGCCTCTCAGCAGCACCTTCGAGCTCATCAGAGTCATCAAAGAGGAGGCCATGACCCGGGATGGCCCCACCATCGTGCACGACGAGTAGGTTCAGTGATGTGGTTTGAATTCAGAAAACACTGTTTAAACATTAAATCGTCCTTAAGGTGTTCATTAGTTACACATTTATTATTTTAAAGGCTTGTGTTCAAAATCATCCTTTTCTACAAGTTAAGGGAATAGTGTTTATGTGCAACTGTTCCAGCTGCCCACGGTGCATGAAAGGGTTAATAGGTTGTTATTTTCTTTTACATTTTATGATCCCTACAAACTTCAGAAAGTAGTAATACATTTTTATTTATGTTTTAATGAAGGATTTACAAGAGCAGATTAAACTGAACTTAGTGAATTTGGACGGTGGCCCACACTCAACCATCCTCTAATGCCTCACTCACCTCTGCGGCCATAAATCTACGTCGGTTAACAGCAACTCCTCGTCATTAACACGTTCACTAAAATGGGAGCCAAAGTGTTTTTCTGGAAATCTGACGCATGCTCTGACTACAAATGTCAAAAGGTCATTTTAGCACAAAACCACCTGCAGTTATGAATCCTTTCTCATTTTGATCATGAACAATATATTTCTTCGACTAAATGATCTTTTGGAGGAGCACATCTTTGACTTTAGTCTTTTCAGGTCGATGCTTCCTGAAATATAAAGTTCTGTTAGCGGGTGAGGTTCTGGACTAACATGGAGGGGGTGCTCGATAGCAGAAATATATAAGTGCTCAGCATAAATGAGTACACCCCGCTGCTCACAAAAATGTCTCAAAAATCTGAGAAAGGAAATCATTTCTTTACAAAAAAGGGCAACAAGAAGATCAGCAAAGCTTCACACATCAGTCAGAATATTGTAGCAAAAGTGATCCAAAAATGTAAGAAAGATGGAAGTGCAACCATCTTACAGAGACGTCCAGGCCGTCCACAGAAGTTAACATATCCGCAGGAGCGTCTTCTGATGAGAAGGGTTGAGGAAAGTCATCATGCAAGTCCACTGCAGTAAGGTAAAGCAGTAGGAAGCCAAACTGGAGCGACCGTCTCTAGGATTTGCTAGGCGCATGCTGAAAGAGATGAAGACTACTGGGGCTCTTTGGTAAACCGAACATTTGTAAGGATTTACTCAAACACAAAAATACTGCTTGCTTGCAAAGATTTGAGTATGCACTACCCCCTGTCGCCAGGGAATTACACAGCGTCACTTTAAGCAACTGGAAATCTGCATGTGGCTTTTATTTGAAAGTTTCCCAATGTTTCACACTGGTTTCATGTTTGACTTCCTGTCTGACCAGATCAGAACTGCTGAGCTGGATGCCTTCTGGAGGTGTAGCTCATTAAAAATGATGCGTAAATTCAATGACCGGTTAGCATCTCCTTTCAGCTTTGGGTAAATTGATTTTCAAGATTTGGTTCCACGACTTGCATTTGGTTAAATTATCACAAAAAAAAAATCGTATCTATTACTGCTCTGGCTTTGCCTTCAGTTGGGGCCCTACAGGGGGGCATCAGCCCACCCCGGATTCCTCCTAGAACTGCCCCTGTCTGTTAGAATGTGTAAAAAAAATCACATATCGTATAAAATGTCATATATAAATGCTACTAGTTTTAAAGATTTCGTGCGGTGCAGACCTGTTTTTACATAATTTTTTTTAAGTCGACGTGACCTTCATTTACCCAGAACTAAACTAACAAACCACACACACACACACACACACACACACACTTGTTAATAATGTCTTTTCATGTATGAACGAATGGATAAACTGCATTCTGATTTCAGTGGAGAGGAAAATAAACCTTCACGTTTAGGTTGGCCCATTTAAGTGCTTATTAATAACCTCTTTGTTCACTATTAATAAACATTAACCAGGACATAATTGAGAGAAAAGCATTAATTAATGGCGTATTAGTTGGAGAACTGGGTCGATCTGAACGAGTCTTCTCTAATGAGCGTGTTTAGGTTTGAGTTGAAACCTTCCTAATCTGATCGGTGCTGTTTTGTATTTTGGGATTTAAAAGCTAGAGGTGCTTGAACGGCTCTGCGGTGTGTACTTACCTTCACTCCGTCCTCGTGTTTGCACAAGTAGGGTGAAAAGTAAGCCACTAAATGTTGAGTGCTTTCCATGGCTTGGGGTTTTAAAGTCCTTAAGTGTCTACCGGTGCTGAGAAATCTACAGGCCGCCACCAGAATAAACATAAAGGCCAAAGCCTTCTGGTAACCAGGCAACCAAAACAGCCACCCGACTCCCAGCTGATGCGTTTCCCACATGCATGTGCATGTTCTGCAGCTCTGCTGCTGTTAGTGTGAACATCGAGAGTCCGAACAGCTCTCCTACCTTTTGTCTGGCTAAAAATTTGCTTCATTGTTGCACATCATTCATGTTGGGCTGTGGGCGTGTCCTCCCCCAGGTACGGAGCGGTGTCGGCGGGGATGCTCTGCGCCCTCACCACGCTGTCCCAGCAGCTGGAGAGTGAGGGAGTCGTCGACATCTATCAGGTGGCCAAGATGATCAACCTCATGAGGCCGGGAGTCTTCACTGATATCGTGAGTTCACAGTCCAATAAACACCACCTGAGAGCAGTTAGAGGGTATGACGACGTTTACAAGCTGCACCCTGCAGCATGTTTGCTTTATTTACTGATGCAGACACTTTAAATTCAAATTAAAAGAAATAAGCACTGATTTGCTTCTTCTAGGCCTAAACCACACACCTTTATTGTGCAGCTTGCTTACACCTTGTTATACTGCCCCCAAGTGGTCAGAAAATACGGCTTAAAGCAGCATTCAGAGCCTCAGTGGGTCTGTTCTGTGTTTTTACCCAACTTTGGCTGCTTTCACTTATTTTCTGTCCGATCCTCCTCACACCCAACCATGTTGGTGTTCTGTGCTTTAGATAAGTTAGTGGAGAGGTGGAGGGTCTAAAAGACCTGCAGCCAATGATTAGGATCTGAAGATGAGGAAAAACCTGCAAAAGGACCCAAAAGAAGTGGTTGTATGTCAGGTTTTCAGCTGTTTGACTCATCCTGAAACACAAAAACTATCATTCCTCTGAAAGTGAAGAGAAAAACTAAAGTCCCAAAGAAAAGAATGAATACTGACCACTCTAAAGGGTTACATAAAAGTCAGAAACAAACGACTAAAGCACTTCTGCACAGACATGATATTAAATTAGTAGCAGCTGATGTGTTTTGTAGACTTTCTGATCATGAGGCTCTGAAGGACCGGTTCAGCGTTCTGGATCGGATCTTAATCGGTTTAGTGAGACATGAAAACAGCAGCAGCTAAAGTACGCCACTCACCATCCTGGATCCGTGGAGCTGTGAGCTGTTAAACTTTTTTCCTGTTTGCTGGCGGTTCTGACCGGCCCGGTCAGGCCGCAGCTTCTTCCCCGTGGTGCCTGTGAAGTCTGCCAGCGGGCTCGATGCTGCTGCTGAAGCAGATGTTCTTCCATAAGAGCGAGTCTTGACGGACCTCAGAGCGGTCCACACTGGAGACCAGTTCAGAACCTTTGCTGCTCCCCAGATTGATGGAGAACAGGGACATCACACCCTGGAGATCCAAAAGTCAAGGGAGCAAAAATTGAGGTCACACGGGGGATTTGTTGACTGATTGAGGGCCTCACCCCAGTTACAGGAAGTGATGCACAGACTTTCACAGTAAAAGTCCAGTTTTAGTAAATGTGTGTGTGTGTGTGTGTGTGTGTGTGTGTGTGTGTGTGTGTGTGTGTGTGTGTGTGTGTGTGTGTGTGTGTGTGTGTGTGTGTACAGGAGCAGTACCAGTACCTTTACAAAGCCATGCTCAGCCTGGTGAGTAACACAGAGAGCAGCCTGGGTCCCATTCTCATGGACACTAACGGGACGGTGGTGATGGCGGATGAGTCGGACCCTGCAGAGAGCATGGAGTCGCTCGTCTGAGGACATTAACGCAGGCCCTTAATTTGTAAAAAAAAAAAAAAAAAAATCAAAAAAAAAATCCAAGAACTTTTCTGAGGCCTTTTTGCCAGACTATTGATTAAACGAATAACCTTATTACTTTTTTATACTGATAAAAAGGTTTTTTGATATTTATGTTTTTGTCCTTTATTTTATGACGATTATGTTTTCATTTTTGTCTTTAAATGTTCTCCTGCTGAGCGTTTGCACCTGTTTAAGTTGACATGAGGGAAAAGCAGCTCTGTCCACTTTGCACTATGATATCAGTGTTACTGCCTATTTTACCCAGTGAGTGAAAAACGGTCTCCACCCGTTAAATTTCTGCTCCGCCACCAAACCTGACTGACCGGAGGAGGAAGAGGAGGGCTGGACCGCATCGAGCCTGAAGCGTGAAGACCAGGGACGACCTGAGGCGATCCACTTACGACAAAAACACTCCTTCACATCGTAACGTAGGCCAGCATGTATTTTGTCCACGAGATTTTGACACAGAGACTCATAGCTGCTTCTACATTAATGTCCCAATATCTCACTGCTGTCTTGTAAAATGTACTTATGGCTTATTTTTGTCTTACAACTCCTAATGTGAACATTTATTGCTTTTTACAGGGATTTATAACGTTGTATTGTTTTGTAATATATATACATATCTATATATATTATATCCTTAATAGCCCGCTGTTATTATTCAGATTATTTTGGTTCTGTTCCGTACTACTAGACTGATCTTCTGGGAGATCTTCCCATCGTTCCATCATGTTTATGTTCTATTGTTGCTTCTCTAACCTCAGCAGTCACGGCTCAGCTTTTAACACGTGCATCGACACAACACGATGCCTACAACACTAAAGGATTCGCCCTGCACAAGGTTTTTCATGTTTTATTGCAACAAAACAAAAATGTTCAGTGGGGCCCTATAAAATCCATTTCATGTTTTAGTTTCTTAGTTTTCCCTCAAATTTGTGTTTTTAATTTTTTAATTTTTTTTTTTTAATGAACAAATGAAGTTTCCAGAAACAAAAAAATGGATTCCATAGGGGTCTACAAAATGTGTCTATTAAATGGATGTTTTGGCGCTGATCAACATTCATCATGGTTTAATATCAAGGTGAAAAGAACTTTTGAACCTCCTGTCGTCCCCGTGCCCCCCCCCCCCCCCCCCCCCCCACACACACACACACACACACACACCCTCCCACGTGTGAAATGCTGCTGCTGTGACTAACCTGTAAGTCTTTTAGAGGAACTTGCCTTTTTATTCTTGATTCCAACTTTGCCACTTTTCTTGAGCGTTTTAATTTTGTAAGAAAACTCCCGCGGACACACTGCTGCGGCTCCTGCAGCAGCAGTTTTCCTGCAGGATCTCTTTATATTTTACTAGATTTTACTGAAGAGGAGCATCTTCACCTGCCCTCCTTGTGAAGATGCTATTCAGTGCCTTGGAAATATTCGTCATTCTTCTCTGATTGGTTGTTTTAGTCAAAATGTCGCTGTATTATTATTATTATTCATCTGTTTTCATGTTTTCTAGCCAGAAAATTAACTCCTACATTAATTCTCTAGTAAATCCAATCAGTGATCATTTAGATCTCACTATGAATAAATGACATTTTTAGCATTTAATGTTTATTTCCCATGAATGTTCATTCATTTCTGCATTTTTTCACCTTGACACAAACTTCTGCTGATCAGTGTCCGCTAACAAAAGACTCTGTGAATAAATAAAACATGAAAAAAGTTCAAAGGAGGTGAAAACTTTCTGTAGAGACACTGTAATTTCTTTTGGTGGGTTGATGCTTTATTTGTAACCAAAGATGTGGTTCCAGTTTGCAACAATGTAAGTGGTTTTGTCCTGAGATCTATTTAATCAACCAGAATTTTCAAATCAAACCTGTTGAAGCGTGCAGTACAGATTTCCAGTGTCCAAGGTGTGAATTTAACCCAGAGTTAGCATGTTTCTGTTCGAGCCTCAGGAACTCGCCTTCCAGATGATCTTACTTTGTGATGCTTTTCTTTTCCTCTCACTAGAACTAAGAGGTTAACAAATTCAGACTGTAAATTGTATTTTATCTGGGCTGAAATTCCGTCTCTGCGTTACTTTGTGGCTATAATTATAATCCCTTTTCAACCCTGAACTCTCGTCTGTTTGCTTTGTTTGTTTCTAAAGTCACTCATATCTGTTTTAGGTGAAAAGTGCAACAGATTTGAAGTGTATGTTCAGAAAGCTGGTTTGGATTGTTGCCAAGTATTCTCTGGATCTTTGCAGTGTAATCCTAGAAACCAGCTGCACCTCCAAGGTCCTAACCCTGCAGGGGTTTGCTCCACATTGTCCTGACATTTACTTAGTGATGCAGGGAACTCTTTTAGGTCAGGTTAGGGATTTCATTTACTTTTCAGTTTAATAAGCTGGTTAAATGTCTTGTTTTTAGTTCACTAAAACCCTTCAAAGGTAATAGTATAACTGAGTTTGTAGATTGTACTGTTAAACGGTGGCCTTTAGCTCATTAGGTCTCCATCTGCATGCAAACAGAACTGAATCGAGTTTTTGGAATATTGACAACGTTCACTACATAGTGCACTTCTTTTTTATGGCCTTGGGTCAAGACCGTGCACCGATCAGGGGAACATTCCTGTTTACTTGGAAGAGTAAAACTTTTGCAGCTGGCCACTAGAGGGCGCTTGTATAGCTGCTCCAATGTCTAGTTTTAAAAAATATGTCAGCATGTGAGCTGTAATCTCCGTCACTAGTTAAATAATTTGTGGTAGATGACAAAAGCAGAGGGCTGCATGTACGTAAAATTAAGTAAAAACTAGACGTGGCTCTAACTACAGCTGTTCTCCAAAAGTAAACCACACAACACCCCGTTTAAACGTGCCGCCATGTTGTATTGTTAAGAGTCCGATGCGGAGCTGGTAGGCTTAACCCACACGCCCATAGTGAGGTCAGATGCACGCACCCCAGGTGTTTTTTTTTTTTGTACTTCTCATTACTTTTACATTACAGAAATTTAACGGATGAATTTTTCATTAATAGATAATTTCATTAGTCCCCAAGTGGCTGGGGAGAGGGAAGTCTGGGCCTCTCGACTAAGGCTACTGCCCCCACGACCCGACTCCGGATAAGCGGATGAAAATGGATGGATGGAAAAAAATGGATGGATTTTTCATTACTTTTTCCCAGTTTTTTTATTCCACTAATCTAGATGTGAGTCATGTGACTTTGCCGTCCTGGTGGGGCCCAGTAGACGCCATGTGCACAGTTTCTTGCCTAACGCCGGGGACACACCGGCCGCGGAAGCGCCGCGAAGCGCCGAGAAGCGAATCGCTCACGAAATTCGGCCGCTGCTCGCCGCTCCTCAGTTCATGCGCCCCAGTCGAGGCGCGCCTCGGCTCAGCTGTAGTTTTTCTTTTAAACACTTGGTGTCCTCCATTTCCTCTCTGCCTTTTCTCAGCTCTTTTCCTACGTTTGAGTGTTTGTGCGCGTGCGCGCGCGCGCGTGTGTGTGTGTGAACCTATGGTATGAGTTGTTTCTGCCAGTTGAATCTCTTGGAACCCGCTCCAATTCTGCAGCTGTATCCTAGCAGTTTCTTCCGACATGGGTAAGTAAACAATCATGTTTTTCGGGGGTCGTACAGCTCCTTGTGTTTCTCAACTTCCATAATTAATTTAAAGTCATCCATCCTAACAGCTTGCCTCAGACTTTCTGCCTCTCTGTCCTGTTTGCTCCGGTGAAAAGACACCCAAAACCACTCCCCCCTTCACGTGGTCACACACGCACACAAGTTCGATGTGTGTGCGTGTTCGTGTGGTTTTTCTGCAGTGTCTGTTTACGAACACATTTGACTATTGCGGAATTTTATTTTGAAATGCTTTATTTTGTTAACTTTACCGGCCTGCCTCTTATGTCTACGTTTGACTTCCTGCCAGAATTGACGCGATTCACCCGCGGCTCGCGAAAAAAATAGAGCCAACGCCGAAATGATCGCTGCACGGCGCGGGCTGGAGCGCCGGCGCGCGCCGGCGCGAGGCGATTCGCGGCGCTTCGGCGGCCCATGTGGTCTATAGAATAGCTTAACAAGGGCGCCGAATGAAGGCGGTCCCATTTTCGCGGCGCTTCGCGGCGCTTCCGCGGCCAGTGTGTCCCCGGCCTAAGGCTGCTGCAGCAAGCCCTGTTCAGAGCTTTGGCTGAAATGTAGTATGTGTTATTTCTGTTCTTTTTATCCCCGACCCACCCGCGTTCCTAATCAACAACCCTGCTCAGCCAGCCGTTGTCCTGGAGGGGTCACCCGATAGGACAGTAAGGGGGTTAAAGGTCACACAGCAGATAGCGCCCGGATGGTGTTTCACTTCCTGTGAGCTGCTATGTGTCGGTCGGCGGGTTTCCTGAAAAACCAGCATGCACGGCGGCAGAAGTGGAATGCAGTCCTTGTTAATACACCTGTGAATAATTCCATGTTTCACGTATGCTGGGAAAGTAGAACCGTTTAGCACTTCCGGTTTTATCTCTTTAGATTTTAGTATTAACTTTAATAGAACCACATTAGTTCCCTTTGGACATCTGTGCATCTGATCTCAGCTGAATATCATCGTCACAAAACACTCGTCTGTTAATTACAGCGTTCAGAGTTCCAAAGGCCTGAGCTGCTAAGCTAATTGCATATCCTCTGCTGCCTTCTGGGCTCCTTGACCTCATCGCCTCAGGTGCAGCAGGTAAACATCACAGAAGATGCACATGTACAATAATTTTTATTTGGAGGCCACAGCTCTTGCATATTACAACTGTTGGCTTTCATAAGGCAAAAGCAAGAATGAGTTCACCAGCTAATTCACACAGAAAACAAAGCGTTTTGGAGGAGGGGTGGGCCCACGGGCATGCAGCGATGGCTCAGAATGCAATGTACAGCATTTAATATTTATATATATTTATATAATATATACAAAACAACAGTGAGACCCAAACAAATGCCAGACATCTCATTCTACACAGTTACAGAACAAAGACAGACCAACTTTGTTTTTTCTCGATAAAAAAATGGTTTTTTGCTCTTTTTCTCTGTAAAAGTGCAACTCAATTAAAATAGAACCTGTTTCTTGGCCTTTTTTTAAACTGTTGAAATAAAAATAGAATCTTCCGAGTTATCAAAATGGATCTGAGACTATTGCATCTCCTGAATCCCCCACTCGCCGTTGAGTCTTGACTAATTAGTAATTGGGATGAGATCACATAGCATTGACACATGATAGAAACGCAGGTCTAGACTTCCTGTCGATGACATCTGAGCAGACGACAGTTTCTCTTTTAACAGCCGTGAACAGATACAGAGGTTTTTTTTTTATTTTTAGTCAGAAGCAGTTGGCATTCACTTAAAAACAGACGAGACAAAGAAAAGGGTCCACACACTCATCGTCACGACAACATACCATTAATGAATGTAGAGTACGACAAAGAAGCGCCATATAGGTTTGCGTTGGACAGGGACACACCGATTAATCTCACTCAACATCGTCAAACATATGGTTCTCCATATTGCTTAGTAACACATAGAAGTGAATTTAGAAATGAGTGAGGATCAAAGGTAGGAGCTATCTTTATGATGACACAGCTAATCTGCCAATCATGGTTATTTTTTATGTTTTTTTTATTATAATTTCTATTTTTATATTTAATGTTTCCTTCATAGGCATTTCGAGCTGACAAAGAGGTCCTAGAGTGGCTATCTGAGTTGGTACATGCATCAGTAACCAGGCTAAAGTCAAAAGTGTAAAAGGGAGGCCGGGGTGAGAAGTGGACGAGGAAGAGGAGAAGGGTTTCTTTTTTCTGGACAGACAGACGGGTTGGAGAGTCAGTGCACAGGCTCTAGTCCTCTTCATCTTCCTCGTCGCTGTCTTTCATGGAGATGCCCTGCATGCCTCCTTCCCTCACCGAAGCGGTAGCCTCCTCCACCGTCAGCCTGTTGCGCACCGTGTCGTACATTTTACTGTTCAGAGTGGAGTCCAGGACGCCCTGCAGGCGGAAGTCTCTGTACTTTTTCTGCAACAAGATAATGGCGCGTCAGCATCTTCAGACACACTGGATCGTGGGAGGTTTCTGGACCCGCCAGCTCACCTTTGTGACCCTGATGAGGATCTTGAGCTGGTAGACGTGGAGCTGTTGATCCATGCGCTCGGTGAGCCAGGTCCCCAGCAGGTTCATGGTGGCAGTGTACCATTGCTGAAACACAAACAACAACACTCTCCAGCAAAACACACACCCACACACTAACTCGAGACACCATGACATAAAAACTAACCTTAAGGACACACGTAAACATCTACAACTATACACATACAATATATGAGGTTAGTGATCAGCACCAGATATTTAAATATCACTTCAGTTCAAGCTCGGAGAGTAAACAGAACAAAGCCGGGTCTCCATCCTGCTAGTGAAGCAGGACGGAGACCCACACAGACCCAAAACGGCCTCAAGAATTATGACATCATTACAGAAAGACGCACAAAATAACCACTATGAAAAGCAGAAGAGATGTAAAATTAACTACACGAGACAAAAAGACCAACATGAGATGTTCGGTCACCATCGGGAAAAGAAAAGATGCAAACCGGGACAAAAGTGGTCAAATACAAAATGACAAGATATGCAGTTTGCAAACTAACCTGAGCCCAAATCAGATGCACCATAAACGCTACAAAGGGCCAACCATCCATCCATCCATCCATTTTCATCCGCTTATCCGGATTCGGGTCGTGGGGGCAGTAGCCTAATGCAAGAGGCCCAGACTTCCCTCTCCCCAGCCACTTGAGCCAGCTCCTCCAGGGGAATCCCAAGGTATTCCCTGGCCAGGTGAGAGACATAGTCCCTCCACCATGTCCTGGGTCTACCTTTAGGTCTCCTCCCGGTTGGACGTGCCCGGAAAACCTCACCAGGGAGGTGTCCAGGAGGCATCCTGACCAGATGCCCGAGCCACCTCAACTGGCTCCTCTCGATGTGGAGGAGCAGCGGGTCTACTCCGAGCCCCTCCTGAATGACCGAGCTTCTCACCCTATCTCTAAGGGAGAGGCCAGCCACTCTTTGGAGAAAACTCATTTCGGCCGCTTGTACCCGCGATCTCGTTCTTTCAGTCATTACCCAAAGCTCATGACCATAGGTGAGGGTAGAAACGTAGATCGACCGGTAAATCGAGAGCTTCACCTTCTGACTCAGCTCTCTCTTCACCACGACAGACCGGTACAACGCCCGCATCACTGCAGATGCAGCACCAATCCACCAATCAATCTCATGCTCCAGTTTTCCCTCACTCGTGAACAAGACCCCGAGATACTTAAACTCCGCCACTTGGGCAGGACCTCATCCCTGTCCTGGAGAAGGCATTCTACCCTGTTCTGAATCAAGACCATGGTCTCAGATTTAGAGGAGCTGATTCTCATCCCAGCTGCTTCACACTCGGCTGTGAACCGCTCCAGTGAAAGCTGAAGATCACGTTCTGATGAAGCCGACAGGACCCCATCATCTGCAAAAAGCAGAGACCTGATCCTCAGGCCACCAAAATGGATGCCCTCCACACCTTGGCTTTACCTAGAAATCCAGTCCATAAAGGTTATGAACAGAATCGGTGACGAAGGGCAGCCTTGGCGGAGTCCAACTCTCACTGGGAACGAGCCCGACTTACTGCCGGCAATGCGGACAAAACTCTGACACCGGTCATACAGGGACCTAACAGCCCGTATCAGAGGGCCTGGTACCCCATACTCCCGGATCACCCCCCACAGGGCCCCACAGAGCCCCCCGAGGGACGTAGTCAAACGCCTTCTCCAAATCCACAAAACACATGTAGACTGGTTGGGCAAATTCCCACTCACCTTCCAGGATCCCCCTAAGGGTACAGAGCTGGTCCAGTGTTCCACGGCCAGGATGAAAACCACATTGCTCCTCCTGAATCTGAGGTTCAACAATTCGACTGACCCTCCTCTCCAGAACCCCTGAATAGACCTTACCAGGAAGGCTCAGGAGTGTGATCCCCCTGTAGTTGGAACACACCCTGCGGTCCCCTTTTTAAATAAGGGGACCACCACCCTGGTCTGCCAGTCCATTGAGACTGCCCCGATGTCCACGCAATATTGCAGAGCCGCATCAGCCAACACCGCCCCACAACATCCAGAGCCTTAAAGAACTCCGGGCGGATCTCATCCACCCCTGGAGCCTTGCCACAGAGGAGCTTTTAACCACCTCAGTGACCTCAGCACCAGAGATTTGAGAGGCCAACCCAAAGTCCCCAGACTCTGCCTCCTCACTGGAAGACGTGTCGGTGGGATTGAGGAGGTCTTCGAAGTATTCTGCCCACAACATCCTGAGTAGAGGTCAGCAGCACACCGTCCCCACTATAGATAGTGTTAGTAGTGCACTACCCCACTTTGGACCTCTTTGGACAACCACACTTTGGACATGCCTGCGTTACAGGGTTTCATATGTTTACCAGGTGTCTTTACAAGGTTCTCTAAATTTGAGGACCTTGTAGTTGAAATGCATTCTTTAGTCATACACTTACAAACTAATAGTGTGTCTTATTTTGAAAAACTGTACATACCAGATACTGGTAGTTGGATGGTCATATAACTGGTTCTCCTAAACTCTCATTGGCCCATTTATTTAAACACTGATTTTGATCAGCTGAAATGTGTTGATCAATTATATATATATATATATATATATATATATATATATATATATATATTTTATATATATATATATATATATATATATATATATATTTTATATATATATATATATATATATATATATATATATATATATATATATATATATATACATGCTAGAGCTAAACCTTTAGTACAGAGATTCATCTGTTAAAAGAGATGATTAAACTACTCCAACTTTCCTGTGAATCTCTCTTAAGGGATTGGTGATATTCAGAGAAAACCAGCATCTTACCCTCCTTACAGTAAATGAGATGAGATCTTTTCCACTTTCATGCCTGTAGGTGGCTTATAGTCTGAGCCTGACCCTCCTCAGAGGTAACAAAATCCCCCCAGTAGCTCCAACAGTAATTTGATCCGATCCAAGTGATTTTCAAAGAGAAAAGAGATCTCCAGAATGTTACTCAGAAATAGTCCAGCACAGAAGTGATTATACAATAAGAGCTTAAGGGCCAGCTGGAGGATTTTATTGTTACCACTGCATGAAGGCAGACTGGCCATTTTCCTGCTTATTGTCTGCATGCTAAACAAAGCCAGTCTCTGCTGGATCAACCTCAGACTGAGCAGACACAAGAAAATAAATCTGTTTCCCATCCAACTTGGAAAAATGTGCATTTCCTAAAATGTTTGTGTCTTCCTTTGTTGGCACTGGAGAATCCTGTTTTCAGGGACTTTTAATAAACAACTCAAATGAACTACCAAGATGAACACGTGTGTGGTTTGAGGCATGGGGAGGGGAGGGGGAGCAGGAACGTGAGCTATGGGGAGCCTAAGCTACAGACCACAGCTTTTAAGCACCAACAGATGTATCTATTTTAAACTGCAGCAGCATTTAAAAACTACCATACAATATTCAAATCAATATTCAGTTTGAACGAAAAAGTAGTCAGCATGACTCGTCTATGACTGAAAGCAAACAATTTAGCCTTTATTACTAATTTATTCTAGAGGAAATGCTGAGCTGCATCTAAAACACCCTTCGCTGCGGATATGAAACAACCACAGGGAAACAAAACTAGTTTTGATACGAATTAATTAGCAAAAAAAATTAAAAAGGATAAATAAAAAAATGTAGAATGAAAGAGAGCAAACAGTTAGCAGGCAGGGAGCGAGCGGCGTGCTGTTTTCCTGCAGCTTTTTTTGCTTTGAGTCACCGTTTAAAGTTGCCAGAGAACAGCACACGTCTGGAACAGAAAGAGTTGTCATACCTTCAAGAGAGAGAGTCAACTTTACACATGTGAGTAGGCAGGAATGGCAGTAGGGTCCAAATGACTACATGTGTGGTGCCTTTTTATTATTATCTGAAGTTTGTTTGGATCAGGTTATGCAGATGCCTGTCCACTTCACAGTTGAGTTGAGCGTGCAGTGCATGCAGACCTCGCAGGTGGGCGGCTGAGATCGTGCTAAGGAAAAAAAACTGCTCTATGTGAAAATGAGGCTGAGCTCTGAGGAGGAGGGTCATGCTAGAAGATGTACACAGGAAGATTATTTGACGCTTAAAAGAGTCATGCCAACCAACATAATGTGATAAAACAACGCAGCACTGGAGATCAGTGCCATTTTTCATAGGAGGCAGCAGGAATGGTGTTAATCAGAAAAGAGGAGATTAAAAAGGACTGAAAATAAGTAGTGAAAGAAAGACAGATAAAGAGCTTTGGCACCATCAAGGAATGACTTTCATGCAGAATGGATCGAGTGATGTGCAATCAAAACAAAAAGCAGCAGCAACAATGAAAAAGATTTCATCAGCATGCATTTGAACTTGGACACTTTAAATCAACACGACAGTGCTCGGTGGGGTTTTGGTGCACCCTGGGGCCACAAAGAGGACGCAGGGGGTCAAAGACTTCACAGTGAAACACAGGCCAAACAGAAACAGACAAGATAGCCTGCGTGGGGTGGGTGGGGGTGGGGGTGGGGGTGGGGGGTTAAAGCAGACCTAAATCACGACAGCTTCACACCTCCATGACACAATAAATAAATAAAATCATAATAATAAAACAGGTTTTTCTGGCACAAAGCTCCTGCTACTGCCAGCACAAAAATAGAAAACCAAAGGGAGTCTTCTGAGCATCTGTCAGACAGAAAAAGTTCACGTCACTGCCTCACAGAAAGAAGTGACAACACACAAAGCTGTCACACACCTGTACAGACGCAGGTCTGTACCAGAAGTCACTGAATGACGTGAAGCACACGCACACACACACACACACACACACACGTGTCACAGCGTTACGTGTTGATCAAATCACACATGGAGGACACATTTCTGTCAATGTATCCTGTCAGGATTATGTTTGTTAAGACAGTGCTCTCCTTGCTCTGTGACACGCCGATCCCCACCCAAGCGCCAGAGCCTTTCGTCTGACGGTAAAAGTCTTTAACCTGAGTGTGCTGTCCTTCCTAGTGGCCAGGTGCATTAAAATCTGTTATCCTCCTCTTTTATATAAAAACAGGAGAAAAGAAGAAATGCAATGTAACAGATGTGCAGAGGGG